GATTTGAAGTTTGTTTGTTTGTTTTTTTTTTTTCCCCTTTGGTTAAATATGTATATCTTGTTTACCATTAAAAGATATTAATTTGTTGTCACTCCTTCCAATGAACCTATCTAACTTGTACCCTTTATCTGGGGTACTCTGCAGGTGCTTGGAACTGATGAATTGAATGCATATCTGAATAAGTATCATCTAGAGCTTGATCCTCAGCTCGATGCGCTTGTTGGAAGGTATGTGAATTGCTTTCTTTTAATGGCAAGTTTTATTTTATTCACAACCTTCTATCATATATTTCATTGCAATGTATGGTCTTCTCTCTCTTTAAAAGATTTGCTTCCTCTGTTATGTTTTCCCTTGATAGATGAAGAAATAAATATTACTGATTTACTGCTTTATATCATATTTTATTGGTTGGTGTTTTCTTCTGCAGGCACAGTCGGAAACCCTGGTCTAAATTTATTAATTCAGATAATCAGCATCTTGTGTCTCCAGAGGTCATTTAATCTACGTTCCCATTTGTATCTGGACCCTTTATTTAGTTTTAAACGGCAACTTTGCAAGTCCTAAGATTTCATATTTATGTATGTCTCTGAATTCTCCGTATATCTGACATGCAGGCAATCGATTTTCTTGATAAGCTCCTTCGATATGATCACCAGGATAGGCTTACTGCAAGGGAAGCTATGGTAACTTTAAAAGAGCTCCTTTCTTTTGTTTTTCTCCCTGTCAATAAATTGACAATATATATATTTATATGAAAGTTGAGATGATTCTTTTGGTGCTAGATAATAATAAATGTTAGCGAATTTTTCTTATTGAACTTTCGACGCTCTAATTTATTTCTCCGTCTCGATGTATATTCTTCAGGCACATCCATATTTCTCTCAGGTAAGGGCTGCAGAAAATAGCAGAATGAGGACACAGTGATATTATTATATATGGCTTCATAGACCTAAGTTCAAATATTCGGGATTGTAATATAATACCCTAACCTGCTCTTTATCTGCCATAAATTAGTTATAGATGTTTATTTTCTGGTGTTCCTCAACAATATGATGAATCTTGTTTCATGTGAAGAATAATGTTAATTTTAATTTGTTGAGCATTGAAATTTGAAATTTTATGTCACGACGGCGAACTAATCTGATTTGAGGACTCTTCGGAATGCTCCCGTTTAAACACTTGCCTCCTCCTTCCCCGGCCCTGAATTTCTCAGAGGACGGAGTGGGAGAGGAATATGAAGGCTCTTTTGTTGGGGATATGGATCCTTAGCATTTGTTTAATTGATTTCCATCATGGAACGCATTCATAGTCTATCCGTAGTTTGATTATTGAGAGCTCTGCGAATAATGCCGGATTCCGCTGATCCGACTACCTGGAGGCTTGCTTTGGTTCCAAGGTAAGATTTATAACGGAATAAGAATAAGATAGACACGAGAATGAGATCAAAGTATGAAATAAATTATATCCAAGATGCACATGCACAGAAATGAGATTTTATCCAGTGATGTTTTCATAGAAGCTTAGCGCAGGGAGATGAGTGAATTTTAAAAGTCACGTCCCTCAAAAATAATACAATATATACTCTTTTGGTTTTATATAAAGATTTTATATTTAAGATTGGAAAAGTAATTTTGTAATGGATTTCATGAAGCATGGCGGCATTTCACCGATGAACACTGAAAATATTTGCGTGTGGCCAACTCATACAGCCCAAACAATTCTTAATTGGAATCTGACTCTTTCCGCTCGTCATCTTTTTAACTCACCTTAATGTAGTCTAATTCTTTAAGATTATGAAGACAACATTGTCCATTGTAACTAATCCTTTGCCTACCCCTTCTACGACCGGAAAAAAAAAAAAAACACCCTTACATCGCACAAAGGCTTAAATTCGAATCCCATTACCTGATTTTTTGGGTTCAATTTTTGATGAGCTCTTTTTAATTGCCTTTATTAAACATCCTGTTTCATCCTTTATAAAAACTAGATAATTAATTTGCAAAACTAGATAATTAATTTGCAGATATGAAAAAATTAGTTAAATTAGTTATAACAAAAATGTGTTGATTTCTCTATCATGTCCTTTCTATTCATACGCATTATAACTACTATTTGATGAAAACCCCCTCACTATGTATAATTAATACAGACATTTGAGGAAAAGTCGTACACTTGGAAGAAAAAATATAAGACTAAAATAAACACCTTATAGAACCGTTATATTTAAACTGTAAATCCGAACCTAACCCTGATAAGTTTTTGAGATAAAAGCTCAAGCCTTGCATAAAGACAATCGATATAGGTGAAGGAAAAACAGAAAGAGATGTTAGGAGGAAAAAGACCTTGACATGTTGCACGTTGCTGAACATGTAATTAATGAGACATGAGTCATTTCGGCTTCAGAATGTTGGCACGCTATATGATAGTCAAACCTCCCATATATAGGATATATGGGTTTGTAAAACACAGATGCTAACACCGTTGATCATCACACAGTTGAACTTTTTGGGTTCGCCCCATCTTTGTTCTCCTCTCACTTCCCCAGGAGTCAAGCATACAGGCACATCAAGATATAGAGATTCATGGATATACATAAAAGAGGCCATTGTCACTAGACCACTCACTTTTTAAGATGAGGAAAGCAAGTATAAAGATCAGACTTGGGGTGTTTGGCTTCAGCATGCTCCTTGCACTTCACCTCCGATGTGGTGCAGATAAAGGTTTGCATGCACACCTTGCACTGCAATCATTGATCAAAACGTTACTGAATAATAGACTGCGTCATGCATCCATTTTCAAATCTTACAGATGCACGCATTTTTGATAGTATCATGCTTAATTTTTTGGGACAGATTCAGGCAATAGGCATTTAATATCAGTCAAATGAAATATTACTTATAAGATGAATTTCGAAAATGCACCCCTCGTAAATAACCAATGATGGGATCTCATTCTTGCGGACACACAATAAACACACGCATCCCCCAGGCTGACTTAGTTGTTTATCCCCTTGGTCTTACCCCGTAAAACGAGACATTGAAATTTAATATATGTAAGTGCTGACAAACCAAAATATGGGAATCCCGAATGATAGTTGATTCACATTAGCTCTAATTAAAGAATTAGTTATCATTGTATCAACTGTAAATCACAATTTCTCGAGTTTGACTGCACTGTGCGTACGTTCACAAAGCATAACTACCTAAACATAATAGTCTCATTTTACTTTTAAACAACTGACGATGAACAGGGAATTCAGATGCGGAAGATACTCAACAAATGTTTTCACTTAAACGATCAAATACCAGCAGATTGTTGGCAATCAAAGTCTCAATCATTTGATATTTTCGAAGTGATAATAAAAGACAGAACTCTATGCAGCAACGCAATATAAAGCCGAAATAACAGACAAAGCAATATAAAACCATTGAACTTCAGACGGATTAATGAATCCGTACGAGGAAGAAGAGGAGGAAGAAGAAGCAGTGTACGCATGAATAATTCCATTAGAAAAGCTGCTATAAACACCAGATTACCTGGATGGTCATCGCTTTCTTGTTTGAATCCAGCTGGCTCCCTGCAAAAGGGAAGATGAGTACATCAGATTACGAAGAACAAGGATAAGGAGATCTAGCAGTCTCAAATTTCCAAAATCCAAAGTAAAAAGTGGATACACTTTGTTTCAAGATATTTAAATTTCCAATTCTGGTTATAAATCTTTCCAAACCGATTCTTGGCAACCAGAAAGACCATGAATGTAAAATTATCAACTTCAATACAGAGAAAGAGGAAGAGAAGAAACGAGCATTACCCTTTGCGGCCTTGTTCTTCTCCATGTTCCTCTCCCTAGCCATCTTCGACTTTTGCCCATTGCCTCCTCCCATCTCTAGTAGCGCAGCAGGAAACCCTAAAAACCCTAATCGAACTCGCCAAATGGAAGTCCCAAATAGGAGAGACCAGAACGCTATTGCGATATATTTTCAAGCATCACAAATTAACTGAGGAGTTAGGGCAGATACCAATGTGAATGAATAATAATCGGTATGGTCTGTTTTCAAGTTTTTCATTTTTGTTAGACTCTTCGTTTGGCGAAATTTTAGACTAATGTGTGTTAAAAAAATTCATCTCCGACGAAATACTAGAATATTATATATTTTGTAATTCATCTTTTTCTTTTTGGTAATTCTATTTTATAATTTATCTATTTGTTTAAAAAATTTATTTGTAATGTAAATAATATTGAATAATTATTTTTAAAAAAACAAATAACATAAAAATGATTATTATCTTAAACAAATCCCAAACACCCAATTCTCTGGCGCTTGAAATATTTTAATTGATTTTTCATGGTTAAAAACTTGTATATATTTTTATAATACAAAAGACAAATACCTAATCAAATAACTTCTAAAAATATTTTTGTACTTGTTATAATGGTTTTTAATTAAAACATAGAGAAATATAATATTTTGTACTATCATGATAAACCTAAATATATAATTAATTATAAATTTATACCATCTATCTTCATGTAATAAAAGAACTATAACATAGTAGTTTATTATAGGCTTTATTTTTTATTTTTTTTACATTTAACTTTTAAGCCAGACAATATTAAACAAATAATATTATGGGTCCATTTGTTTAATACACATTTATTTCATGCCAAATTCACCAAAATCATGACATTCCGCACGCAAGCGTGCAGATATAATTGGTCTTCACCAAAGAGTAAAGGTCCTATCTCTTGTTGCAGCAACACTATCTCGGTGGTGGTGGGAGGGTCGTTTTCCAACACCGACTGATAAATCCCCAAGTAAAACATGTTTAGGACCGACACCTAATTGCACAGTGAGGATGCAACACAGAATATACCTTCCTCTTGAATGCGAAATTCTTTTCTTCTCTCGGTGATTCCCATCGTCTCTATACCCCAGTTCGCATTCCAATACAGACTGCTTTTCTCCCTCCATCTCTGTATCCCTCTCATCCAGCAAGCCATGGAACTTTTGTGGGAGTTTGCTCTGACTCTAGTTGTTTCTTTTCTGCTTCCGTCAATTTTCTTTAAGCTCTTCTCTGTTGCTTCCAGTGATGACGTAGACGATAAAGTGGCCATGGCTTCTGCGATCATGGGGTTCCATCAGATGATATTCGCAAAACAGAGGAGGTTGTTCTGATCGCTAGAAACTACGAAGAATTTAAAGGTGAATCAATTGTCGGCAAGCTGTTGGAGGCGAATTGCGGATCCCCCAAAATACATGATGCCAAGAAGATTGATGAGAACGGAGTTTTCAGTGGAATTGAAGCTGTGGAATCAACAGAGAATCATGTTGATGAAAGCAGCCAGAGGAGTCAGGCAAGCGAAGTGGATGAAGAGATTGAGATCTCGAACCCGGATTACGATGGGAATTGCAATGAGATTGATGAGTCTAGTAAGAAGGGAACGGATGACGAAGAAAGGGAAGAATGGTTGGAAGAGGATGATTGGGAGGGAATAGAGAGTACTGAATTGGAGAGGCTTTTTGGTGCTGCAGTTTCGTTTGTTGAATCCAAGAGCAATGCTAACCGAATAGCGAATCTTGGCAACGATGTAAAGATGCAGCTATATGGATTTCACAAGATCGCCACTCACGGGCCTTGCCAGAAACCTCAGCCAATGGCACTGAATTTTTCCGCCCGAGCTAAATGGTATTTAATTAACTTCAACTCTGTAATGTAGTTACTTGTTCGTTTTTTTCCCTCCTCTAGACGTTCATTCCTTTCGCTTTTTGTTTCTAATGCTTAATTCTAGCCCTTTTGTCCCTATTAGTTGTAGAATAAGTAGGTTTTTTGGTTGTGGAAGGAATGCTTGGCAGCAACTTGGGGTTATGAGTCAAGAGCAAGCAATGGAGCAATATGTCACTGTTCTTTCAAATAAGATTCCTGATTGGATGCCAGAAAATTCCATTGTAAGTCCATAGTTTTACTCCAAATGAGTCAAACTTTTCTGTTTTTCTTCACCAGCTTTACCATTGTAACTACTGACTAGTAAGGCTGGAATTGATTGTATCTTGGAGTTTACCATAGAGAATTTGGGATTCATCATTACAGGCAAAAGATAAATCGACTGATGCAGAGATCCAAGCATTTGAATAGCCATATTTTAAAGACAGAAGCTGCCAAACTAGACAAAAATGTGTAACAAGGTATTTCTCAACTGATGCTTTTCAATTCTGACGGTTTAGAAATTGAAAAGAATTAAGATCTCCAAATTTGCAGCACATTTGGGTTTTTGTGAATGTCCAAGCTCAAACTCGTTCCTGCTATGTATATGAAACAGAACAGCATATCATGGCAATGGAATCACGTTTTCCGTTATCTCCTGCCTGCTTTTCAGTGTCACCTTCAACGTAGTATTTCTGAGATTGCTACAGATATGGCCAACGACTCTATGAGGAAGGATGTAGATTTCAGTTGTAGTTGTAGGGTTGTGACCTGTGGATAATGCATTGTATTATTGGATCATTTTTCTTTCCCACGCCCTTGTCTAGTGCCAATCAGGCCATGTGCACGCCCTTTATTCAGTTTGGGAATGATTTAATAAAATGATGATATTCTTTTCGTAACCATTTTTTTAGCCTGACTCTCACTTTGGTACAAGGAACTTCTCAATGTCACCAACTCACCATACATCGTAATTAAAAATTTTGATTTTGTCTATGTGAGCGAGAGTTCCGCCATACATTTATTATTGATTAATACATTCAAATAATTTATTAATATAAATTAATATGAAATATAAGCTTACGCAGTTTTTTCAGAAAATTTGATGTGAGTAAATATTATACGACTCAAATCTTCCATTGTCCTGTAATATTATGAAATTAAATAAATAAATAAGCACTAGACGCCTTCAATTTCTCTAGTGTGCCGGTGTAAGACCCAAATGGAATTGCAAAGTTAGAAACTAATCATATTAAAGAAGGCAAAGGGAAATTTAAGTACCTTGTGAATAAAAATTAAAAAAGAAAACAATTTGAAAAAGTACATAACTTATTTTTTTTAGATTTAAAGGGTGTTTAGAAATCATTTTTAAAAAATACTTTTATGCAAATTAAGATGAAATTCTTCTTATATATTTATTTCAAACTTCATAAAATTACTTATAAAACTATAATTTGGTTTTTACTCAAATATTTTCTTGATCCATGAATTGTTCTATTTTTCAGGCCTGAAGTCCATTATTTATTCGCTCAAGCGTTTTACAAATCGTGCTGCCTGCCTCTTTCGAGCACCAAATGCGGACCCCTTCTGTGTAGCTCTATGTTGGCGCGACCTAGGAACGGCATGCCCTCGGTCTTTTCTTTCTTTTTTTTCCCAACAGAAGCTTGCTGGCGTGTGTTCCTGCACCCGCTGACACACACGAGAATAAGTTGTCTCATTAATATCGAACGACAACGATTTCTGTTCTCGTGCGCGAGGAGCGCGAGAAGGAAAAGCAAACAACCAAAAAAGCGCGAACCTGATGGACGTCTTTACTCTCTTCAGTCTTTAGCCTAGCTAAGGGATAGCTTGATGTTTCGTCCCGATTTGTACACAGCACAACGGCATAGGCGTAACCGAACAACCACTCCTTTCTGCTCTGACTGTGTTCTTCAGCTCTCTCATTTTCATCTGCCCGTCGCGATCTACGATATATCCACGATCCTAACGTCGCGGAACTTCTTGCTTTCACATTCTCTCTATCTAAAGTGTGAGATATTAAAAAGCCAATGGGAGTGGTCACCGAGGGCTCGGTTTGAAAGCCTAATCCATTCTTGTTCGTCTTCTTTTTCTTCTGTTCCTGCTTCTCGATCTTCCTTTTTCCTTATGCCTCTTGCTCCAACAGACCTTCAACAATATTCGACCGTGGAATTTCGTCCTCATTTCTTCGTTTCCAGCGAAACTTCATCTTTCTCTACTCTCTTGCTTCAGGTTGGTCGGCTATTCATGCTATTATAAGATTGTTTGGTTTCCAAGAAAAAATGTGCGAACAGGGAAAGAAACTATCTAGAGTTTAAATTCCTTTTGTTAATGGCAGCACAACTTACGAAAACTAAAACAGAAGCCTCAATAGCGCTTAATTGTCCTTATTCTCTAAGTTGAGATCCTGAAATTTTCCATAGTTTTTAATATACGTTTCTTTCATCTTCGCAACCAAATATTGAGATTCGATGCTATTTTCTCTTTCCGGAAATTAATTATTGAACTTAGCTTCGGATTGGTGATGTGAATGCCAATTTCATTTACCAATCCGTCCTGTTGTCAGTTTTAGAAGGTCTGTGGTCAGCGTTGGGAGAGTTTGAGTTGGCTTCCAATGGAATTGGAAAGGAGCCAAAACCATGTCTCTTTGTTATGGATATGCATCGGCTGCCTTAGCAGGTCCTTTCCTTGGCGTGCTTTCAGATTTAGTGTAAGTATCTGGTTGAAGTCGCTGATAATCACCTAAAATATTTCTTCGTGGTCCAGCGATTAGTTATACAAGTAACAATTTCTGCGTGCATATTTTGTATTGCAGTAATGTTGCATTATGCTTTGTTTTGCCGTGAATGTGATTTTCTTCTTTAGCGTGTCTCTTAGCAGTATATAATGACGTCTATTGTGTAAACTGGAGAATTAGCTTTCTGAGTCTGCATGTTTTATTGCTGCCCAAATGTTAGCAAATTGGCCGCGTGGCTATAATGTGGAGAGAAACAGTGTTTTTCCTTCCATGAGAAATATCTTCTTAGCAATAATATCCATTGCTTTTCTCTCTAGAGGATGGACAGCAATTCCACAACGAACATCTTTTGAGGAGTACACTGTGTCCTTCTGTGCAGACATAATTGGTGGGTAAGACTTACTTTTTATGTTCTTGTTTTATTATTTCTTTTTTCCTCTGTTTCAAACAGCTCAACATCATTTAAAATTTTGTTGATTATTTTTTTTACAAATTTTTAAAAAAAATATCTTTCTTTTACTTTCCTCTTCTTCTTTTCATTTTGATCTGCCTGTTTACCTGATTATCTTCTCTTGTTTTGATCAACACTAGGTCTTTGAATCATTTACTGCTTTGACTAAAGCTTTTGTCTATATTAATAACCACGAATTGCTTCTTTCTTGTTGCCAAAGGGCCTGCAATAGAAAGAAATCAACTGCAAAATGTTAGAAGAGGAAATGCATTTGTAGGCATGGACTAAATATGTTTAATGCGTATTTTAGTTATTATTTTTGATATAATTTCAAACATAAAATTAATATAGTAATAAAATTGATTAGCGTTTTAAAATTGTAGATGCATGATAATTGAAAATAAGAAAATATAATAATATAAAAATAAATAAATTACTTCAACAAAAAGAAATTATATATAAGAAGTGATACAATGTGCATTTTTTGTTAAAAACACACTATTTGATTCTTCATTGGAAAAAAATTCATTTATAATCATTTCTATAGTGAAATTCTTTAAATATTTTTTAATTTAATTATTCAAATTACGTGTAAAAAAATCATCTTCCACTTTATTAAAAAAAAAATCTATTTTACAGTATGGTTAAAGAAAAAAGAGAGCATTCTTCCAAAGATTGAAAATCAGAGAGTGGAGAAGTAAGTCTTTAAAAACATGTTTAAGTTGTTAAAATATTAAAGGGAAGCAGCGAACAGGTAAAAAATCTGAAGGCGGCACATTTAACAATTTTAAACGAATGACGTTATATATAATGCCTATTATTTTTTTTCCTTTTGGGGGGGGGGGGGTTGTCTGTCCTTGGGTTCAAATGGTCTGAACTTTAAGTTTGAACTTTTGGATTGGATGTCTAGATTCTCCAACGGCATGAGGATATATGTTGCAATTCCTGATTTCTTATAGCAAACTGCTATTTATTATTCATTGAAAAAAAAAAAATACTAACTTTCTCGGACTTGTAATCTTTTCAACTGAACTTGACCCTGTAGTCAGCTGAAGTAATAAACTTTGCGTGCTAATAGTCCATGTCTTTGGGAGAAAAATTTATTGAATGATTATGTATGTTATTGATCGTTTTTTGATATATTAACACAGCTGTGCTCATGTCCAAATGATTATGTTTGTACTAACATTTTACGGAAAATTCTCAAAGACGCATGCGGAATGACTAAAGAACTCGCTGAATTCTACTATTCGAGTTTTCTTATTAATTCTTTTTTTCTTTACCATGTACTGAAAACAACATTCTGACGACTATTCTTTAATTAACAGATAAAAGGATATTGTTGTTGGCTTGGGCTCAATCCTGCCTTCACTTTTCTGTTGGAATTTTTTGGAACCTCTGGGCACCTACGATGGTGGTAGGATATTGTAACCTAAAAGAAGAACTATTTAAATACCGAGATAATGTGTGAAGACTGTGTTTGAAATGCTGAAACTGTATTTATTGCATAGAATTTATTGGCTTGCTTTCCTTTCTTCTTTAGGCTTCCCTCCGTTCATTAAATGTTAACATGGAATTAAATAAGGAGATACAACAAGGCTTTTTCTCAGGCCATCATGGTGGGAAGTATATATATATTGTGATTCAAATCCGATAATACTTCTGTGTAGATTTTTAATGCATGGTTTTTCAGGGTGATGGACGTGAAGTACATCTATGGTTAATATATCCATGCCTTCTTGGTTCAAGAATGCTAGGAAGCACTTCATTTCCCTGGCTGACAAGCTGACCATTGATGCTTAGAACTGAAGACTGCCTAGGATATGCATACATCATGCTGGGCATTGTCCTGTCTATTGCTGCCTATGACTATCAGGTGCTATGATTGGATAATTTAATATCTTCTCAGGTTATAAAGCTGGAAGTGCAAAGTCAACCCTGATGACCTATCGTATGTAGGAGAGTGGGGTTTTGGTGACATTGTTTTGCATATCCCACACTGGAGTTGGGCTCATTTCGCCATTACTTGCCAGATTGAGGACCATGTAAAATCGTTAATTAACAATAAGTTTTCACTTCTTCACTTGCTCATTCGCTGACCAAATTTTTTGGTGCTCTGCTTATTTACGGTGCTTGCAGGTATGTGCCTAATGAGTTCCGTGGGGGGATGATGGGCCTTTCTCACGCCCCTGCAAATGCGGCACTCCTGCTTTCTCTGCAAGTGCGTGTTTGATTATAAAGTCTAGAAATTGCCGGGAACACTTTCTCAAGTGGGAATTTGTAAATGAGGTAAATATGAACTGTATGAGGAAGGTGAATCAGTCTGAAATTTGAAATTATAATATTATTTACTTATCTGGATAGCTTCACCATGGATTATAGAATTCACTGGGAGCAAACAGATCTGATAATATTCTGGTTTGAATTATTACTGCCCTGTCAATCCATGTCGAAAATGACGCCTTGTAATAATTCAATCTGGCTGGCCCTGCTTTCAAAATTTCTTCTCAGACGTAGTTTTCAGTGTTTTCCTTTGGGCAACAGATATTATCTAGTACTACTAATCCTAATTTAAGTCAGATCCCAAATAGGTGGAAGCTCCTCCAATATGGTTTTCTTACTTTACACAGCTTGAACTTGAGACTTTATTTTAAGGTGTTGAATTCTTTAACACTCGACTACTATTGGTAGTCTGCTAGAATAGGTTGCATTCTACTTTGAATGCATTCATGCATCACCGTCCCCTAGGATTGATTAGGCGTTCATATGAAGGACAATATATGCTCAATTACTTTGCTTGTTTAGAATCTTGCAGAAAACCCGCTTTCTAACTGTATACGTTCCTGTTTCAGTTGGTTCTTATGTGCATGTATTGTTATGCGTATTTACAAGGTACTTATTGTCCTTTGACGGTTATAGGGTGGCTATCAACGAAATGTTGGGAACGCAGCATTAATGGCCATTGGTGCGTTCGGGGTTATTCACAGCTGCTGGTTGCATGCATGCCTTGAGGCAAAGTGGGAAGCAACCATATCAAAACCGGATGAACAGTAAATGCATGCCCCTTTGGCTGGCTTTTGGGATGGGCGTTTGTAACCTTTGTTCGGGAAAGTGAGGAGCAACAAAATGTAGCAACTGGGTGACACCAATGCAGGCGGGAGGGAAATAATTTCCGAAAACCAATGAAGCTCAACTTTCAGTGGGTGCACAACTGGGCTGACATTGTGGTGAGTTTACGTGAGGGCCTATTAATAACTGATTGACATTTCACATTCAATTTCTGATTCTTCTTTTAGATCTTTTGTGCATGAGACCGTGTTCGACTTGAGCACGTCGACCATCAGAAAGGTATCCAGGACCAAACATTTTATCTTTATGCTTGTATGTTGTAGCTTGTTCACTTTTGCTCCATGTTGCTGTTTGGACTTATGGAGATCTAGCCGACCTAGTAAAGCATTTGAAGCTACTTTCATAGTCTATATTTGATAACATCCACCAGTTTCTCTCGGGCAGGCGCCTAAAGATCATAAGGTGAAAACTTCTAAAAATTATCTTCTTTTTTTCAGATTTGGCTGGGAAAATTTATGTTATGAAGTTGTTGGGCAAAAAAAAAAAAAAAAAAGGAAGCAGCCATGAGTTTCTTTGATGAACTGAATTCATAGTTTAGTTCATGGTTCTACGAGAACTTCTGCCGCCAAAATCTTAGCTAGCGGAATTAATGTCGCTCAATCTTGATGAACATAATTTCTTTAAAATCAAGTTAGCCGTTGGTTTGGAAACTTGGCGGTAGTTTGTCCATTCCATCCTGATCTACACGTTAAAAATAAATAAACATTAGTTGGACTTGACGTTGTCACCGGCTCCTGTTTGATGCAGAGGCATAATCTTGATTATATTACTCTAGCACTATGATTGCAGTATCGAGCTATCTGAACCCGTTCCATAATGCGCATGGATGTTTTAAGTGTATATTTTGGAGATCTGGCTAGAATTTGAAATCTATAAAGCCATTAACAGGTTATTACGCTTTTGACAAGCTGTTGAAAAAGTTCATAAGATGGTGATTATCTGTATTCTTCCTGTACATTATCAGCATCTGATGTTCACATTTCCCCCCGTGATTTCACTAGACCCAAAAAACTCAAAACTATGCTGCCGAAAAGCCGTCAAAAGTTTTATTTGTATTACCCTACAAGAGTGCCAGAAATGAACCTGAATCAAAGATCCAGAGAAATGAAAACCAGGATCAACTTAGAATTTTGCATCGCAATCTATGGTACAATACATCTAATCGTATTGTTCTTGATCCCTTATCCACTTTGTTGCCACCCACTTCTCCCCTTTTATCACAGGGCAGCTCCCATGAAGTGATGTCTGTTCCAGCATTCGAAGAAGGTGATCAATAATGAATTCAGAGTATGCAGAAACGACCCTATACATAGCATAACTCACTAACTTCTTAACAGATTTTACACACTGGACAAGATGCAGATATCAACAATTAATAGAAATTAAATATTAAGTAAATATTGACTTCATAATTTTACAAGCAAATAACCTCAACTATGAAAGCATAAATTAATATTAATATTTAAACAATATATTATAGTTTAGAAGTTAATACCCCATGCATATTAGAAAGTTAACAGCATATCTTGTTCCATAATTTTTCAATCATCATCCTAAGCACCCTACCTATTATAAATTACTTTACTATATTAAAATGAAAATAAACAAACAAAAATTATAACAATCAATTTTTTTCCCAAAAAAAGGTATGGTTCAAAATAGTGGTGATGAACAATGTTATACCATTCTGACTTACTATATATTACATCTGATTTTTAATATAAGAGTTAGTTGACTAATTTAAGTAGATTAAGAAAGTTTGTTAAATTAGTTATTTGTAACAAATAGATGTTACCTTTCCTAAAATACCTTTATTAATCATGAGTATTAGTTAAAACTACCATTTGATGAAACATTTAACATGTACAATTACTATAAGAACTATTTTGAAAAAAAAAATATAAAAGACAAAATAAATTGAGATTTTATTTTCATCCCAAATTTTTCGTTATTCCCCCAGCCTAAAAAGGGAACTATATATTGAGACCAACATAACCGTAGTCAAAAAATATTGTCATCAACATGGAGTGATTACTTTCTCTTTCATAATTGGTATTTCTGGAGCTTTTCAAACTTAGTCAACTAGGCTCCCGATTTCCTAGCATCTGCTTTAGGGAAATATCTTAAACAATCAGTCTCCACGGAAAGGTTTTTCCTTTCTTCTCTTCCTACGTGAGGTGCTTTTTTCTTGTGTGGCCTGTGGGTGTGGGTATTTTTGGTTTTTTTTTTTTGTGTTTCTTTTTTTTTGGGGGGGTGGGTGGAGGGAAGGTGTTTATCATTTTCATGATATGAAAAGACAAAAAAAATCATAGCAAACAAATTCGGCTCGCCCAGAAGATAGAATCTATCGAATATCAAAGGTGGTAAACATACTAACCGGGTCAATTGTGCCATTATGAAACAGTGAATAAAATAGGAGCCCATCTCCCTGGCGAGGCCTTACCCGTAAGCCCACACATTCCTCGTAATTGTAGCTGCCATCCATATTCTGGCCATCCTGCAGATTGGATAATTCGCTAACTGACTAAGCATCCCCATATCAAACTGGAATAAGCAGAACCCAATATACACGGGCAAATTGAATTTTACCTCAAATGGAAACATGGTCTCCCCACCTTCCTCAACGTCGGTTAAATACAGCAAAAAAGAAGCCACCTGCATGGTTAACCAAAACTGATAATAAGAAATGAACTGGTAGCATAAGAACTAGTAACTTGAAAAAAAAAGAAAGAAAGAAATAACTTCAAAAGATAGAATCAAAAATCACATTAGGAGAAACTTAGATATTGAAAGAAAGTAGGGTAAATGATAGGTCACAAAACTTCAATCTAATATCAATTATATTCTAAAAAACTTTATTTATAAGTTGCGAATATGAAATTCCCACTTGCAAATCATCAAGAGTGACCTAAGAGCCTTCAGTACACATTTTCTAATTAAAACTTTCTTATTTAAAGCAGTCAAGGTTGATGTTTATAACTTATTTTGTAACAATTTTTTTAAGCTTAACGATCATTAAATTGATATTTCTGGCACCTAAGTGACGTCACTCATCCAAGAAAGTATTTAGGTCATGCGTGCTCATATTTTTTAGCCAGACACTAATTAGTAATTTCAGGCACTGGGGTACTTGATTTTGCAAACTTAATGCTTCTCATGAGCACACACCCTCCACAGGCTTATATTTTGGTCTAAATCTAATAAGCACCATCGAGCTTAAAGAACAGTGGCCATGATGTCACCAAAAAAAAAAGGTAGCCATGATGCAGATAACAGATATCCAATTAATTTTGCACGATGAACTATCCAGGTCTAAGTTCAGGAGGTAGGGTAGATGTACTGCGGGTTAATTCCCAGTTCTGTACTCTCAAGCTTTTGCTTGCCCTACTTTTCGAAAAAAAGTTCAGGAGGTAAGAGAGCTAAGGCACTTGTGATTGGACCCTCAGTGTGGTCCCCGATAAGAAATGTGGTTATCAAGTCTCAGAACAAGAAATTTCCCCAATAACGGAAAATGACCATGTGGTCACCAGTGATTTCCTTGGGACCCGATAGATCCCCAGAACCGGTTGAGGCATCATATGACCGGTTCAATCAAGGAATCAGTGGCTTCATAGCATTAACGAGTGAAAAAGTGTCATCAGTAGTTTTCGATGAATTTCAATCGATGATATCACAAATTACACTAACGAATGAGAATGTACGAATTTTAGTTCAAACGTACCCTTTGGCTCTTTTGAGGGCCATATTCGGAAGGGTTGAAAGCGTCATAATGAGAATTATATCTCTGTCCGATCTCATAGCGCAAAATATTGAATGCCTGAAACATGGTGATTCCTCAGACAATTTTAAAAATCACCCTGAAAATAAAACCTCTGCAAATTCAACAAAAGCAGAAACTCCAAATTGCAGATAAGATAAAGCCCGGGAAGGCTAGCCCAATTAACGCAATGCAATAGTAGAAGAGTAAAACACAAAAGTCTTGATATGACTACCGTTTTTCCCCTCATTGTATTTATAGTTTTCAACCAGCAAAAGACGTGCTATGGTTAGAACCTCCATCATTTCCCATTTTGTATGAAGTTAAATTTAAATACGATCCCAACACCCTTACCAGCCATTTTATGTACGAATACCAACAGAAAAAGCACAATAGATAGATCTTTCATGTCATGAGAGAAGATACCTGTTACTGAAAAGGCAGATTTATATTGAAAACACAAGAACATACAGTATCACTGGAAAATAAAGGTATAATCATTAGAAACAGTAATCGACTCTGGTCAGATCAAACGTCTAATCTTGTATTCCCTCTGCTTCTTGGCACCGGGGTTGCTCAATTCTGTAACTTTCTGTGAGAACAAATGGAGAAAGGAGCTAAACTTTGAAAACCACTTTAGTCGACTCCCCGGATAATAATTTTAGAGAAGCCCCCATTATCCTGACCTCACTGTGAACACCACACTACTCCCATAGCAGTCTTAACACTGCTCCAATTCCCCACTAATGCAACATCTTCATAACAGTTCTACCAAGAAACCATTTCAGGTCCAATCCTGATTTAACAAAAGTCCCAATCCTACAACAACTCTCCGATGCACATTTTTCATATTTAGTCCAAGACAACAAAGGAAAGAGAAACATATAGAAAGGAATGATTAACACATTTTCTGATTTCATTTGGAATGGGGGAAAAAGCAAAGGAAAATTAGCATTGGAAATTATATTACCTTGTCCCACGAAGAGAAAAGGAATAAGAATGAAAATGAGAAAAATAGTTCATCTAAACTTGATAATAGTCATTTTCCCCAAAAAGGGAGAAGTTAGAATAAATGGTGATGACATTCTCAGTTTCATAAATGTTCTGTACCTCTTCAACGAAATTAGTCATGGATAAATATGTAATTTTAAATTTTTCTCCACAATATCATTCCCTCATTTATTTGACATCCAAACATGAGAGAATAAATTTATTTTCTACTCCCATATTTTAATGCCTCTCATTTCCTTTCCTCTCATATTCTTTCCCTCCACCTTGTGTTCCCAACGGAAGGCTCAGAGGCGACAAACGAGGAGGAAAACAAAACCAAAGAACAGGTCTTGCAGAAGATACAACACCAAAACAAGAAGAGATACACGCCCGACTGAAATAGGAAAAACCCAGACAGCCCTTTCTTGACATCAACCGCAGCCCAGAAGACCTTCTCTTTCCCAGTTTACATTTCAAAGTAATGGACAAGATTGATGATGCCAGTTGCTAGAAAGAAAGAATTGTAAACGAGGTTCTTATCACATATACAAAGTCAAACAATCATTGAATGAAATAAAATACAAGCAAAATATATTAGATTAACCAGACAAACTAGATTTCCTTTTTGGCAGACAGATTTTAGTAGGATATTACCTCCCCGTGACTTCTGGGAATCATAGTCGCCCTGGCAATTTTTTCCTCTATGACATCTAAAGTCCCAGATTTGTCTTCAGAAGCGCTAAGAAAAACACCTGTGCTGTTTACAAAAGAAAAATAGAAATTGTAACTTCTGATAAGATTGATTGCACTGCTCGACAAAATAACCATGGAGAATATTAAGAGGTCATAAAAAATCACAACACATCATAAATTCTTCCACAGGGTAGATTTTTTGCATGAGATAGCAAATTGCCCCCTAAATAAGCATATAGAATATCAACATGATACCAAAACCTCCGGAATTGAAAGCCCCAATTAGTTGTGAGCATCTCTTTTATACTTCATTCCTCCGACTGAGCGCATATAAAACATGTATGATTTGAATTTGGATGGACTCTTAGAGTTCAGAACCTCATAGTGTAATATCATGATCTTGAGCACTGACTCAGTTTAAAAGGCGTTGAACTCTTAAAACTCGTCATCCAAACCTCATCATCCAAACACTACGGCCTAAAATTCCTTTCATTTAAAAACTTCCATACTACTTACCATAAGGCCTAGTCTTCCAGATAAGAGGTCAAAATTCAGGTGGTTCATGACAAGATGCACCCGCATCTTAGTCAAAAACTCCATAATTTAGGTTAGAAGCGAGATGTAGCACCTTCGCTTTTGAGATGGTGAAATATAAGATACGTTTAATTATAATCCCTATCAGAAACATCATGAATTTTGGAATTAGCTGAGGATATCTAGAATCGTTCAACGTTGCTAGCCTACAGCAATATCATGATTTCATGAGTTTGGTATCTTGGTTTTTCCACTGATACCAATTCGGATGGAACAAGTTTTATTGTACTTTCTGTCCAGTTTATAGCAAAGTTGTATGTTACTATCCTAGCATTAACACACACGGTACCTTGTTCTAATGCCTTTAGTATTCTCCGCTGTTTCTCCTTTGCGTAATGCCAGGGTTGACGGTTTGAGGCCTGCCTTCGCAATATCAATTATGCTTTCACATTGTTCTGCACTTGCAAATTTAGGAAAATATAGAGCACGAGGTTTCCAGCTCAAAACCTAAGGAACACAAGCACGAGATACTTTATTTTAGAATCCGTAAAGACGAACTACTTCCACATCAAGCAAGACCAACTCATCAATTAATGACTCAGGTTATTGAAGTCGATTATCCATCAGAAATAGTTTGGAGATTTCTGCTCTTACACACATAAACATCTCTAAAGTCAAGTACTAATATGAATTAACCAAATTCGTGATCATCCGAAGTTCTGAACACTTTGAAACAGACACTTTTTGCCGGTAAGAAACCATAAAAGGATGCACCGACTCAACAGAAGAAATTCAAATGTTAACTGATCCAGCATTGATACATTTCCTCTAAAAAGATTGAGAATGCTTGATGAACAAAATTGCGCACCTGGAAAGGAATCGAGGTAAAAGAATCATCACCGGAGTCTCCAGCAGGCAGCAAATAATTATCAGTCTCTGCCGTCGCCGATTCAAGCAACCTCGGTCTCGGCCTCACGCCATACAGATCTTCCTGCCAATACTCATTGACCGGTATCTCAGATATTTTCCAAATGAAAAGAAAAAAAAAAGAACAGAGAATCAGAGAAAGGCATGAGAAAATCTAGCACAAAATATGATTATGAATTTATGATTTGGAATAAAGACCTTAGAATGAGAGAAGTGACTAGAGCCGAAGAATCCAGCGAGAAAGAAGAAGATGCATATGAGAAAAACAGAAGGCAGGGCGAACTTCTTTGTCCTCCAGCTCCAGTTTCCTTTTACCGTTTTCGCCTTCATTTGGATTCTGAAGAGTTCTCCTTCTCCGAAATTCAAGTGCAGAAGAAGTTCTGTCTGCTTCTTTTCTCCGGCGAAGATCCAGATGGTTAATGGTTCACTGATCAGCTGAGTTACCTGAATTCCAGTCTTCTCAGGACTTGATATGCTTCGTTGACTAACGTATTATAGGACACCAGTGACTAGAGACGCACTGACTTTGAATATGGTGTTATGAATTTTTCTTCGGCCAACAATGGATTCCCGTGAGCCGAGACGAGCCTCGTTGTGGCTTTTCTTCGTTGGACTTGGACAACTGGACCCCAGTGAGACGCTCTTTCTCGAATCACATTTCCAAGTGCTTTTTAAATGAGATTCTATCGCCCAATATTTGCTATTTCTACGATGGATGAGAATTTCTTACCTAATTTTCACTATTGAAATTTGGAATTTTTTATAAGCTTTCAGGACCAGAATCCAGAGAAGATAAATGATACAAGATCCAATCAACTACTAGCATGGTTATATGATTATGAGTCATAAATAATATTAGTCATTTTTCAGATTTTTTGGAATGCATATGATCGACAGTAATTATAAATCAAAATTAAAAATAATATAAAGATATATGATGTATCATTTGTATAAAAAGTAATATTGAATGCAAAAACTTTTTCATATTATAATCAACAGTTTTTTCACGCAATATGTTATACTTCATTATTATGTATCCATACTGCCATCAATCATTTTATAATGTTTAATTCAATACGAAATTCATCTTATTGGGAATATCTATCCAGTCAGTGGTCAGTCGATGCTCTAATGTTATGCTGTGCTTAAAGTAAGGCGCGGTTTATATATATTATTTCCAGTTCTTGATATAAGATCTTGTTTGGCTTTTATTTTGATCCTAAATATAAGATCCTGATATATTTTGTCTCTCATATTTATACATTTTTTTTTCAAAGTAACATTTCTAACAATGATAGTTCTAATCAATACTCTTGATTAGCAATGATATTTTAGGAAGGACAACACCTATTTAGGATAAATAACTAACTCAATTTATTTTTTTAATCTCCTCAAATTAGTCAACTGATTCTTATAATTAGAACCGGAGATAGTATTATTTTTTTTAATTGAAAATAAGTGGTATAAATGACTAAGTCATATATGTTCACACAGCCCACTGCTATTGAAACTTGCGAGAAAAAAAAATCTGAACCGATGTAATTAGGTTAATTATCTATTAAGAAGTCATTCAGCATAGTGCCCGATTAAAGATAAGTGAGGGAAGTGCTAGTCATCTCTCCATTCTTTTCGTCGATGGTGATTTTCAAATTTCATTGTCTACATCTTGACGTGTTTTGTCTTGGGAATCTATAAATGGTCCATGCTTTCAAAAGATCGAAGTCCTTTTTTTTTTTTTGGTTGATGATTGAAAAGTTCGGTTAAGCTTTTTTATAGAAGAAAAATAAGGGCTAGATCGTGCTAATTGAATCGATTAATTGAATATGTTTCCTATCTTTTTAATGCAATGGAAGCTGATGCAGTGTACACAATTACAATTTTTTTTTTTTAATGCAGAGGAGACTTCAGTTTAAAAAAAAAAAAAAAACGCGCGCACGCGCAAGAATTACAAAACATTGAAGGTCATCACAAAACCCCTGACCCATAAGGCATCCCTTTTAGTAACAAGTTCCCAACAAAGAACATGTAAGCTTCTTTTCCTTCCCGTCACATTTTCCCGTTTATAACTGCTTAGCCTCAGTTTTCCAGCTGATTCATCCTGAAGAGGTAGATTCAGGAACACATCCCGAACATGTAAGCATTCGGATCTTTTAGGCTTATAAATACAGCTTGTCTATCGAAGTATACCGTTTTTCATCCTGAAAGGTGAAAGCACCCGGATAATCCTCTCATGATCTATTAGCCACATGAACACTCGTATCCTTTGTTTTTTGGGCCAAAAAGCTTCGGATCTTTTAGGCTTTTACCTTTTAGATACGTGTCATATATTTCCATCCGCTTATTTGTTGCGATATTTCTCACTCCTTCTCCAGCAGTATAGTGAGATGCATATCGAATCAATAGGATTTTGCTTATTCTCCATGGCTGGCTACCACCCATCCATAGTTTCTGGCGAAGGAAATAAATAAATAATCCAAACATGCACCTCCATATTATAATTTAGAAGCTTACCTTTTGGCGCTCTTATAGTTGCGGCCATCTGTCGTTGCGACAATCATATTTGTCTTTAAGGACTTTGACCCATAAGGCATCATTTTCAGGGGATGTTTGGCAATTATCAAAATCACTTTTAAGAAGTATTTTTTCATAAAATGAGATAAACTGCTTTATATATTTATTTCATAAACTGTAAAAGCACTTTTGAAACTATAGTTTAGTTTCCATCCAAACATCTTTTTAGTAATAAGTTCCCAACAAAGCTTGAAAACAATAAAGCTTATTCATTCGAATGTTCATGATTAATTCCATGACCTTTTTCCTTTTTCTGTTGGCTTTAACTTGTTCCGTGCGACTATGCTCACCTCTCTCTTCCCTTCTAAGCAGTCTACATAATCAGAGATTCACTTTCCAGTCCTCAGCATCGTGAGTGATCGAAAGGCCCATATAGATCGATACACTCTATTGTGAAACAAGTGGAATTAGAACATGAATTATCTACTTTCAGTTCATTCTCATCCCACATTAACGAAATTTAACTTTTCTGTTGTTATATTCAATTTATGTCACCTTGGAAAAATAGCACAAGTGAAAGAAAGTCAGTAGAATTCCTGATTTTCCCTCATTTTTTTATTTCAATTTAGATTTTTTTAATAGCTTAGAAATCTGCCAGGTGGTGTTAATACTTGATTTTTTATTTAAACTATAGCGGTATTCATAGATTAACACCGTGGAATTGCTCTTCAGAGATTTGTTGATGCTCGTTCCAAGCGCGTGCAGGCAACTCGAACAACGTTCCATTTTGCGTGCAAGGGAGCAGCCGCCACGTTCCTTCAGCGAACAGACCCTTTCCCGCCACGGCCCAAAAGAAAAAAACCCTCCTTCCCTCTCAATCGAACCACCAAAAGACAAGATAAAAAAAGCCCGAAATAGATTTTAAACCGGATAATGTGAGGGCAAAGCCCATCAGAGCGAACGGCAAAGAAAAATCCCACGTGGATGGCTTGTCCACACAACGAATCTGAAGCTCCCTGAAAATCAGGAAAATGTACAAAATTTTATTTCGTTTGTTGTTGTTGTTCTCCTCCACGTAAATAATACGTGGTCCCCAAATGAACTCTCTAAAATCATCGCTATGAATCTGTGAGCTTAACATCGTCTTCTTCCTCCTCCTCCTCCTTCCTAACAGGAATTGAATGAGATTTGGTGCCAGAACGCCACCCTGCAAAACTTACGGTAGCTCAAGTTCCATAAAAGTAAATGCTCAGACTAAATGTTTACTGCTCTTTAATACCAAGTGCGAGGCAAGTCAGACCAGGAAGCAACTATGGCTCCTTGATCATCCATAATCATAGAGCTTCAAGACAGTCCCAGTCGATATCCATAAAGGCCATTAAAGATGAGATGGGTGGAGAAACAAGCAGGTCTCCCGGACGCAGCTGGGATCCAGGCTTGGAAATTGAGGTGCCTTTTGAGCAGAGGCCGGTATGTATAGAATTGGGAATTCTTCTTTTTGTTTTCCCCCAGTAATTAAAGAGAAGTATGTGTGAATGAATTTCACTGTGACATCAAGCCTTCTTTAACAAACAATCCAGTCACGTTCCTTTCCAGATATTTGGTGCATGTGAAGCTGAAAGTTTTAATCCCCAGAACTTTTTGATAAAAGATCAAATCGATGGCCAATCAAACAAAATGATAAAAGAGCAAATCGACATGCTAAAACTGTTTTCAATATTATAATGAAAGCACTGCTCTCCACTGTTTGTGTAACAGTTAAATGAGTCTTTTTGTTTTTTTTTAAAATAGGTGAATGAGTATTCATCTCTGAAGGACAGTGTGCTGTATTCATGGGGCGAACTGGGACCTGGTTCTTTCTTCGGTCGCCTAGGAGGGCTCTGGTTACTAGTGTTCACAGTTCTTGGAGCGCCAATTGCTGCTGCGAGCTTTAATCCTTCTAAAGTAAGGAAGAAGCCAAGATTATAAGGAGCTGATTCTTGTTGTTACATTAGATAAAAAAATAGATCTCTCTCTCTCCCTCTCTTATGAAGATTAAAAAAAAAAAATAGATTTTTATGCACGCAATTACGCCCATAAGAATGCGCATTCTTTCAGCGGGTAGTTATGTTATGTTTTCCAACCGCGCAGGACCCGGTAAGATTCATACTAGCTGCTGGAACAGGAACACTCTTCATAGTATCATTGATTGTCCTCAGGATTTATCTGGTAAGTTCGGATCCTCTCAATACTTTTACTTATGACCAGGAGCAAGGCCAATAAATACTAAACTACTGCCTTGGTTTTTAATATAAGACTTCATTTGATTTTTATTTTTGTCCTAAATATAAGATCCCAATCCACTTTTATCTCTCAAATTTATATTTTTTTCCTCCAAAATATCATTTTAATAATAGTAGTTCTAGCCAATACATTTGATTAGCAAAGATATTTTAAGGGGAAAAAATACCTATTTATTACAAATAACTAACTTAATTTATTTTTTTAATCTTCTCAAATTAGTCAACTAGCTCTTATATTTAAAACCGGAGATAATATTACTTACCATAGCTGATATATAAGGTGACTGTAGGTGAACTCTCAGGCTTTATTATCTTTACCAATGTCCTGATCATTGAATTAATATTGCAGGGGTGGAGTTATGTTGGTGACCGACTTCTCTCAGCGGTCATTCCTTATGAAGAAAGTGGATGGTATGATGGACAGATGTGGGTGAAGCCGCCTGAGGTGTGGTATCTCCTGGCACTTGCGTATAAACCAACTTCGTTGACATGGGCATAAGAAAATCAATGCATTCCCCCCGGGGGGTTGCTAAACTTGGAGTGGGATCTGATGATCTAGTTATAGGCAAACAAACAATTATAACGTGTTTGCTAAGCCTGAAACTATGATTTTGATTATTTCTAACATAAAACTAAACACACACTTAGTTATTGATCTCCAAATGCTTTGAGCCAAGAAGAAGAAGAAAGAATTGGGGGAAGGACATCTAGTTAGCATGTGAATCTATTTGGTCTTTACATTCTATAAACTTGCATATTTAACTAGTCAAAAAATATCAAGTTGCATGACACCAACACGAAGCAGCACTACGCTCGTCGTTTCTCTCATTTCATGCTTAGTAAACTGAAAATTTTTCTAACCCTTGTTCTGTGTAGATCCTGGCTCGTGATAGACTGTTGGGCTCTTACAAGGTACCAATCTATTAAAATTTTCATGGCATTTAGTTGTTACGCACAAAGGTTTTGGATGTATGCCTGAAGAGCTGTTGCTAAACTAGATATGTCACAGCTCAGGCCAAAGAAAAACACTCGATGTTTTACAGCGTGTTTCAAAAACACATTTAAACTCGTATCGGCGTGTCCACAAATATTACCACCCTCGTGCAGGCAGTTCAATAGGGAATCGCTTGAGGAGGATGTGGGAAACCTTTTTTTGAGAATAAATTTGTTACAGAGCATTAAAGGTTTCTACATCTACTAGGGATTTGATATTCCATGTCCACAGGTTAAACCAGTCGTTAAACTGCTGAAGCAAACGTTAGTAGGGATAGGAGCATTACTTGTTACTGGAGTCGCGTTGTTTACCTTTGCTACACCAGTGGAAAACTTAATACAAACTTCCTTTGCCACAAAGGAAAATACATCAAGTACTCAAGCTCCAAATGTCAGTACAAAGCTCAACTTAAGGTAAAGAAAGACAAATGAAAATCCTGCGGCATCATCCAGCTTATTTTGACTGTGCTTGTGACGTTGTCTGATAAATGTTGTAGAAAAGAGGAGTTGCTGAAACTGCCAGTAGAGGTGATAGCTGATGATGATCTAGCAGCAGCTGCTGCTGAGGCCGCTGATGGAAGACCCGTCTACTGCAGGGATAGGTTTTATCGAGCATTGGCAGGTGGCCAGTACTGCAAATGGGAGGATCTACTCAAGTAAAGCCAGAGATAAAATGCACATCAACTCAATTTGTTAAAGCAGCTTACACTTTGCAGAGGCTTAAATGCCCCGAGTTTCATTCCATTAGTTAATGAAACATTTAAGGCGTTTGATAGATTGTGAATGCAAGCATATGCTGAAATAGAAAGTTAAGAAACTTAAGAAAAGATTTGTGCCCAATTTTGCAATTACACGGATCAATGAATGTCATATTGACTACTTGTAAATTAAGTCGGTGCAGGGAGAAAGGCATACCTACATTATTTAAAAGGACAAATGTGAAAAAGAAAAGCAAAACCGGATAGATCATAGCCGTAAAGACAGATCCGCCTATAGGGACAACATCTCCATAAGCATGAAATGAATATATTTAATTTACCAAGGTGCCATTCCAGCTAATAAAATTGTTGAACACGTTGACCTTCCATTTGCACTGACGTTCTTCATCAAGATTTCCAGACAATAATTGTAGAGACTATAATTTTCAGAAAAACCAGCGCCAGTGCTTGTCTTTAGTACATTAGTTCCTGAGATATTAAAGCAGCATCAGCTGCCAATCCTTTGACCCTCCTTATGTATCAGACCAACACATCCAACATCACGAGTATCAAAAGCAGCATCTCAAGTAAACAAAACTCAGATGCTTCTAATGAGTTCCCTTTTAGAGTACTTAAAGAGCCTCCCGCCCAAGGGTCATTTTGAAACAACAGAATGCAGCATCAGTGCCGCTTCACAAGTCAGCTTTTCTGAAATCACTAAATAAACATTAGTAGTGAATCCATTAAACTATCCAAAGTGATCCAGCAATGAAATGGATTCGTTGCCAGAGCAAAAGGTTTCTTCATTAACCAAGTCTTTTGCACCAATGAAGGATTCTAAACAGGTGCCCTTCCACAGCTTTCCTAAATGTTTGTTTTCTTACTTTAGCATATTCAAGATCAAGTGTCCTATATGCAAGAGCAAGTAGATACATTGCCGGATGAAGTCTTCTGCAGATAGAAGAAACAGGAAAGTCAGTACAATGCGCATGATTTCCAAAATTTTTATGAACCAGTTCAAATAGATGAATCAGAATGTGGTTCACGAAGATGACTTGTATTTCTGTTGCTTGGAAAGGAAAGGTAAAAAAATCCAAAAACATTATTGCTAAGCTGAAGTTTATTAAATAGTTGGTTAACAATTCTGAATTATCAAATAATTTTAATGATTAATATGTGAAATAAAATTGTGGGTGTCCAAGTCAAAGTGCCGGTGCAAACAAGCATGCCAAACAGGCCTCAAATTGTTCGACAATATATGAGGTTCAGAGGTTGAATCTAAAACACCACCTTTCACAATATGTAATTTAAGGTACCCCATGGTGTTTCCATCAATATCAGCATTTGCTTATAAATCATTATAAAGTAATGATTAAATGAAAAACAGTTCTACAAGAAAAAACTTCAGTAATTAATTTATGTGCCATTTGGTGGCAATTTTAGAATGTCATAGCAAAAAGTAGATGCCAAGAGCCAAAAAATCCAACCTCTCAAAATGCTGACCATCATCCCAGCCATCCCATAACCTTTGAGATGGGATTGTTCGACCTTTCTTATCTTTGCCATATGTTTCAACATACCAACCCCCTACGTCATGAAAACCACACCGAGGCTCAAATAGCCAAAATCTGTCGATTGAGAGTTAAAAAAAATTATATTAGTTTGATTTTATACAATAAAAATAAGTGCATGAGAAGACCTAAACAATAATTGGCAGTGCCAAAATCAAATGAATTTGAGCTAGAGACCGCATCAGGGGTACTACAATTACAGTTAGGATCACTATAGAGACAGACGTTGTAAGCAATAATAGCTACAATATCCCTCCACCAATTCTTGGAATGTGTAAAGTATACAATGGATTATGGAACTAGGACTTATTATATTACCAACAATTTTTACCATATATGAGAACAAACTGGTCCTTTTGCCTCAGAGCACATTGCAACAACATGTTCCCAATAATTGAAAGAAGAAAATGACAAAAGAAAATTAACATGACTACAAAATTTGATTTAAAAATACAATAAGTATTTTATATCAATAATATCCTAAAACGGTTGACAAACCCACAACATCAAAACAAACCAAAACAGACCACCAAACACGGCAAGAGGAGGATTGTTGTGCATAGTTAAACGCCTGTATGTTCTCAAAAGGACATGAAAAATGCATGTATAGATATTTACAAGCAAGATTGGAATAACAAAATAAACACTTTAGGAAAATTTACAACCATAAGAAAACAGACGGCATTAGAACATACTTAGCAAAACTCCAGAGAGTTACAGAAAGATTATGTTGTACTAACTAGTAATTATACTTTTTACCCAGACATCAGTTGGATTTAATAGAGATTACAAAGGCTTACTTGCTTGGTGGTAATTTGGCCCTCGTGCATCTACACTCACAAATAGAAACTTCTTCCCCAACTTGATACCAGTGCATGTGCTTCACCTGAAAATTAACCATATATGACGTTTATAGCAAAAGCCTGAAACAGAGACCTGTTTCTTCTCATATATAAAATAAACAAAAACGGTAACCAACAAGATGTCGTGGCAATGTGAAATTATAAAGCCCTTCTAGTTACGTTAAGCCAGGAGGATTACAAACCAGCAAGGTCCTGTGTTTCATAATCACATGGGTCTTGGCCCCCCTACTGTCATACACATTACAGGAACCTTCTTCTGGACTGGTCCCAAGCCCAGCTATGGTTCCTATATGAATTTGCGCGACAGCTGAACTACTTGTGAAGTAATTTTCAGAACCGCAGCCGTTTATATGCTTGGTGTATTCATCTGAATTAAGATAAACATGAATGCGATCTTCTGCTACTTCAGCATCAGAATAGCATCCAGGAGGGACCCTGGAGGCCACAGCAACCACCCTCCTAGAGATATGCAATTCTAGATCTCTATATGCATCTGATATATGACTTGATATTTTAGACTCGTGAATTTGTGGACCATACGGAACTTCTGCATTTGTGTGGATGCTTGCGTTCTTTAAAGATTGACATAGGCCTGAATGAGAGGATCTGAAAGAAGTTAACTTTTCATTATTCCTAGATGATATCTCTGGGTTCTTATTGGCTAGGCAAACCATCCCAAAAAGATCACGACCTGAAACAATGTGCAGAACCTCTGGTGTTTCACAAGAGGACCTTTCCTCAGCCTCAAAGCACTCAGGGAGAAGTTCCATTGACTCAATTTCAGGGCCAAAGTAAGCCGCATGTATGGCTGAGTAAAAATCTCTCTCAAGTACATCAAAATAGCCTGTTCCAACTACTACCCTCTTCTCTGACAAAATATCACTTATAGCTAATCTGTACCACTTTAACCATTCAACAACTTCCATCTCCTTGGAAATTGTTTCATGTGATGTATAGAATTGTAATTTTGAACCCTGCCTAGTATGCTTCTCGACAAGCTTCTTTTGAGACAACAGGTATCTGTCATAATGAGCTCTCTTCTTGGAATCTGAAAGAATCTGCAATGCATCATAGAATGTTCGATTAATTGAGAATAAATCTTACACCAAAGAAAAACTCAATTCTTATTACATGCCGTCGTGCATGGATCTTCACATCATGGCGAGCAAGATTTCTAAACCCAAGCATACAACATCTGCAAGATCATGTACAGCATTACTGGCATCGCAACACTTTCCAATAACATTGATATGACACAGGCATGACCAATAGACAGCTATTCACTTTGTATTGATGGCATTATGAATCTGTTCTGACTTATTGTTCAGTTAATAATCCTTCCTTCTGTCGCTAAGATCTAATCAAACTAGTTATCACATGGAAATAATATAGACTGTTGTTGCTTGTTATTACTAATTAATTTCTTCGGTTTATCAGGAATTCCATCTTTGCTGAATTGTTGGCCATGAATTCTCCTTGTTTTTCCGTGCATTACATGAATTTAAATTCAGCCTTGGAAATATTTACCCAAACAAACTGTCAAATTTTGTGAATTGCATTCATTCAGTTTAACATTTCAAACTCCTTGAGCACGGGTGCAGACCTAGGAGAACATAATTATCGCAACGATTTTCAAGGCCTGATCAGTTTAAGAATTTAATTCATTCCTGATAAATTCAGTTGAGCATATGAGGCCCTGAGCACATCCTCTTCTGCCCAAAAATGACCATAACCTTACGCAAACACAAAAGGAAAATGATTGCTCTAGACGTCCAACTAAATAAATATTCCGGCTGGAATCTATTAAGTTGAAATATCAACACGGCACCTCGTAGGCAGCCAGGATTTGCACAAATCGTCGCGACGCAGATGAATCGTTATTTGAGTCAGCAAGGTCAGGGTGAGTTTCCTTGGCCAATCTGCGAAAAGACGCTTTGATCTCAGCAAACGAACTGGTCTGTGACACTCCTAACAGCTCGTACGCATTTTCCACCGGGAAATTGGTCCCAGCTGACTCCGAGTCACTACTGAAACCGTGAGCTCTACAAATTGGACAAAGGAACGTGCGATAGCGTATGGAGTCATTGCAGTGTGATATAAATGATATTTGAGAAATTGGCCGCCGGTGATAGATCCCGACGGATCGATCATATCCGAGAAGAGAAGCCAGATTTCTTCCTTGAGTTTCAAAATGAAGTGAACGAAATTGAGTACAGAGAGCAGGTATGGCCTACCCGCCGGAGAGGACGAAAAACTGTTTGCGTTATCTGAAAAACGCCGTGACGCGATCACCGAGAAGTGCACTCAGCAAAGGGTGGCCATTTTTGTCTTTTTAGCATTTTGAAGATGCGAGTGGGCCCTTGTTGTCAGCAATGCCATTTAGCAACTTGGATTAAGGGAGTGTTTGGATAGAAACCAAACCATGGTTTCAGAAGTGCTTTTACGGATTACGAAGTAAATATGTGAAGGAGGTTACCTCGTTTCAGAAAAGTGCTTTTGAAACCATGGTTTTGGAGCATCCAAACAGGCCCTAAGTGAGACCACGTGGATGGGCGTGGCATGGCCATGAATCAATGGGTAAATCTAGTAATGAGAAACATTTTGGTTCAAATAATAAAAAGAATAATAACGTTTTCAAAAAGTTAAATAACTACTTGAACCTTTTATTGTCTTTAAAAAAAATCAATTGACCAAAATAATCATGTTCATATGTAGATTGGAAACGTTAAAAAACAAATTAAAAAAACTCGCATTTTTATAGAATGAACTACGGTGACTGCGATAATGATAAAATAGGTAGTGTTATGATTGTGGTTCTATGCTTCAGTCTGCTTGGCAATGGATGCTTTTCCCCCGTACGTAAGCGGGCCAAGCGGTAATGGATGCTTTTATTTTAATGTTTGCTTGAGTTCCTTCGGCCTTGATGATCGGGCGCTGGAGTTAACAATGAGTTATTTCGAGCTTTCTTTTCTGGATTTGTTTTGTCAGCTCGGTGCTCTCTTGCAGCGCTGTTCGGGGCTGTGGCTTTTCGAGCAAAGCTTTTGCGTGGCCCAATATTGGCTCGTTAATCAATTTGCATGGCACTGGATTGGGTTTCTTGCTACTATTCGATCGGTCTTTAATATAAAAATTAATTTATTTATTTAAATAGATTGAAAGGTTAATTAAATCAGTTATAATAAATTTTTTTAAAACACTCTAATTATTTTTTTAATTCTTTCTCTCTCACTCCTGCTCAATTAATGGAGTTAATCTTAAAAAAATTGATAAATATGCAAATCCATATCAACTTTTAAATTAGGCCACATATTAGATACTCATTATGTCAAAACCCATAGGTATCCCCGGTCCTCGTGGGGTCTTTGTCGTTGAATTGTGCTTGGTTAATGGTTCTGGCATCTCGTGGAGGACATCTGAATGCGAGTTGCTATTCGGCCCGAGTGGTATTTCGTAATGTGAAGCTAGCCTCCCCACACTGTATTTCGCATTTTTTTCATTTCGGATTTCGCTCTCAATGAGCGCATGTTCTTTCCTCGTGTCTGTGCACCATATGCTCATAAGAACAAGTCTCTTGTTCGTTTCAGGAGGTGTTTGAAAACTCCAAAAAACACTTTTTAAAAATATTTTTTATGTAAATCGAGATAAAATTTTTTTTATATACTTATGTTTTTAATTTGATCGAGAATTTTCTCACATATTTATTTTGAATACTATAAAATTATTTTAAAAATTATAATTTAGTTTCTACCCAAATATTCTCTTAATGTGGATTGTATTTTCCCCTCAACTTGGGCATTTTTAATTTGTTGTTCACTTGTACCGGAGCTGTTCCTCTTTGGGCTATATTTTTGTATAGGAGTGCAGCCCAGGATATAGTTGTCTTGTTATCTTTTTTGGGCCGAAAGTTTTATCGTTTTGATTCATTAATAGTTTGAATGAATTGTCGCTTCTTCAAGGAAAAAATTGGAATTATTTTTAATTAAGCAATTTTTTACATATATTCTTCTTGCATTTATAACTCCGATTCTTTTTCAAAGAAATTCTTTTAATTCCAAATGCATTTGTAATTTTTAATCATATAGTTTCAATTAGGGTTAATATAATTTTTGGTCCCTCAATTTTGCTCTTATTTTAGTTTTGTTCCATTAAATTTTAAATCATGAGTTTCATCTTTCAAGTTTCTTTTCGTTTAAAATATTGGTTTTACATTCAATAAAAAATAGACTATTTTACCTATTGAAGAAACAAAACCTATGATTTGAAATTTGAGGAATCAAAATGAGGACAAATTTAATAGACAAAAAATTATTTAAAACTATATATTTCATAAAAACATTTAAAAGATTGTAAACAATATAATAATGATTTCATAAACATTAATTGTACACATATTAAGGGCTAAACCAAACTCGAAAAGCACTTGAGCACTGGCAACGTGGCATGGTGTTTAGAGGCTCCCTCCCTCCCTCCTTATCCCCTTTCACCTGCACACATTGTACTATCTCTAATTTTAATTATAAGACCTCATTTGTAGACTACAAATAAGATCTTATAATTATGACTAAAGATAGTATATTTTTCCTCCCTTAATGGATATCATATTTAATTTTTGTTAATTTCTCTAGTCCGTCAAAAACTCGAGGTTCATTTGAGAACCGTATCACAGGACAAAAGTCCAAATAAAGAGGGGGGAAATGCTTGACATGATAAGAATATAGATATGGATGAAGTTAGGCCTGCGACGATTGCCATGAAGCGTTAGGACCGATCGATTGTTGAATGATATGAGGTAGTTATGATTAAGTGAATGCCGATTGGTATGCCCTCACTGTGCATAATGGCAGTGATCATTTGGTTTGGATTTTGAGAATGGGATATAATGATGAACTTGGCAAGTTCTGCCAAATCAAGAAGAATGGATTATAGGTTTCTATCGTTTTCTTCCATCTCACTTTTATTGCATTGGTTCCACATCATTTTCTTAATGATTTGGATTTGCGACTTATGAGTGTCAACTACTGAAGTAAACAAAAGAAAAGAAGTGTTTCTTCATTTTATGCCATTCAGGTGGGCACACCACTTCGGACAAGGGACATTGGCTGGGATCTTTTCTTTCTTCACGACCATTTAACAGGAGATAGCATAATTATTTTATATTAAAATTTATTGTGTTTATTTGCAATCTCTATTTTTGACAGTTAAAGCATACCAAATTTGCTTACGGCTGCTGGAATGACGCTACCAGCAGCCCTTTTCCAGCATAACTTGATCGATGCTTGACTCTGCAGGATGGAGATGAAGTATTAAATCCGACGCTTTTGGTTCATCTCATTAAAAAGACATAGAAACATTCAATCGATCCTCACAAAGGGAAGCTCATCAGTTTCTCACTCCACCCATACTCTATCTCCACTTCATACCTTTCTCTATATTTAGTCTATTTAATTAATTGTTCATTCAATTTAACAGAATAAGAATGCTATTCTTAAGGAAATAGTATGTCCTTTTATTGAAAAATATTTAAATGACGATAATAAAAATTCGGCCATCAAATCAAATGAATAATTAAATGGGGATCACTTCATCACCAAGTCATGAAGTAATACTGTTTATTAATTTGTATTTAGCTTCAAAATAAGACGTTGAACCTTTCCCTCCTTTTCTACGGCTAAAGGTAAGCGAAGTGACAAAAGGCACGGAGCTGATAAAACTTGGAAAGAATTGAGAAAAGACTAGATTAAAAAATGTTTAGTGAAAATGGTCGGTTGGCACTTGGCAGGTACAGGTTGAGAACGTCCCGAAAGAAAACGTTGGTCTCCTTCAATAAGTTACGAAGGGAAAAAGTATGGAGTAATGGATTGTCTAATTGCCACAACAGATTAGTACTCGTGAACCAGTGGGCGTATTTCACAATATTTTTGCGGCTCCCCCCCTCTTTCAGTTTGCGTTCGCACAATTTTCGAATATAAAGATCAGTAACGCACCATATTGTTGCAACTAAAAGGTGGTCGGTTATTACAAGATCCGTACAGTCGGAGGAGTATGAACAACTTGCTTACGTGAAAAGAGGCTTGAAACTGCTTCTTCGATTAAAATATATGTATATATGGTGGGCATAGTAGTGGGTCTCTAATCCACAGAAGAAAAACGAAAAAGTTTTCGTCCACTGGCAGGAGATAAGACAGTGAAGAGTGGGAACGCACGAGAGGAAAGGAAATAATATCTCTTTTCTGATAATGAGCTAGCTGTTCAAGATCCACTATCCCCCCCCCCCTCGCATCCACTTTGGACTCAAATGCAATAATTCAGGTACCCAGACCAAACACCTACCGCTTCCTTCTCTTACGTTGCTCTCGATCAGGTCCCGGAGAGCCGGAAGAAGAAACTAGCATGAGGACTTTCAGAAAATATCTCGTTGTGATTCTCTTGGTTCTCATTCATCAGGTTCTCTGCAATGAGTCTCTGGCACAAACGGAGGAGAGAGAACACCAGAGGAGTACTTACATAGTTCACGTAGCCAAATCCGAAATGCCAGAGACTTTCGAGCATCATTCGGCCTGGTACGAATCATCTCTGAAATCGGTGTCTGGATCAGCTGCAATGCTATACATCTACGACAACGCAATCCATGGATTTTCAACAAGACTGACTCCTGAAGAAGCTCGCTTACTCGAGAGTCTAGACGGAATTCTAGCTGTGTTGCCGGAGAAGAGGTACGAGCTACACACTACTCGAACCCCCGAGTTCCTTGGGATCGATAAAATCGCCGACTTGTTACCTCAGTCCAACTCGGATGGTGAGGTTATCATTGGAGTCCTGGACACTGGTGTTTGGCCCGAGAGCAAGAGCTTTAACGATACAGGACTCGGACCGATCCCCAGTGGATGGAAAGGCCAGTGTGAAACAGGTACTAATTTTTCCACCTCAAATTGCAATAAGAAATTGATTGGGGCCAGGTATTTTGCAAATGGCTATGAGGCCGCGATGGGTCCAGTCAACGAAACACAGGAGTCTAAATCGCCTCGAGACGATGATGGCCATGGAACCCACACTGCGACTACAGCTGCAGGTTCGGCGGTTAAGGGCGCAAACTTATTTGACTACGCGTCAGGGACGGCGCGTGGTATGGCTTACCGCGCCAGAATAGCTGCCTACAAGGTTTGTTGGATTGGTGGTTGTTTCAGTTCTGATATATTGGCTGCTATGGACAAGGCCATTGATGACAAAGTCGACGTGCTTTCTTTATCGCTCGGAGGTGGAGTAGCCGATTATTACCGGGACAGTATAGCAATTGGAGCTTTTGCGGCAATGGAGAGGGGGATTTTAATCTCTTGTTCTGCAGGAAATGCTGGTCCTAGTACGTCTAGTCTTTCCAATGTAGCACCATGGATTACTACCGTAGGAGCTGGCACACTGGATCGAGATTTTCCGGCTTATGTCAGCTTGGGAAACGGCAAGAACTATTCAGGGGTCTCTCTTTATAAAGGTAATGCTTTACCCGATTCTCCGTTACCCTTTGTGTACGCTGGAAACGCGAGTAATACCACCAATGGCAATTTGTGCTTGATTGGTACCTTAACGCCGGATAAAGTTGCCGGAAAGATCGTGTTATGCGAACGCGGACAGAATGCCAGGGTGCAGAAAGGATATGTGGTGAAAAAAGCTGGGGGGTTAGGCATGGTGTTGGCTAACACTGACGAAAACGGAGAAGAACTGGTGGCCGACGCCCATCTACTGCCTGCGTCGGCAGTAGGTGAAAAAGCCGGCGACTCTATAAAGACTTACATTGGATCCGATGCAAATCCAACGGTGAAGATTATATTTGAAGGAACAAAGCTAGGAATTCAGCCATCACCGGTTGTTGCTGCGTTTAGCTCCCGGGGTCCCAATGACATCACTCCTCAAATACTGAAGCCCGACCTCATCGCGCCTGGGGTTAACATCTTAGCAGGGTGGTCGAAATCCGTGGGTCCTACTGGGTTAACCGTCGATAGTAGGCGCGTGGATTTCAACATCATTTCGGGAACGTCCATGTCCTGTCCTCACGTGAGCGGGCTAGCTGCTTTGATAAAGGTGGCTCACCCCGACTGGAGCCCGGCCATGATTCGATCGGCGCTAATGACCACTGCTTATACCGCTTACAAGAACGGTGATAAATTGTTAGACAGTGCTACAGGAAAACCATCGACACCGTTTGATCATGGTGCTGGACACGTGGATCCAGTTTCAGCCCTTAATCCCGGACTTGTGTATGATTTGGCAGTGGATGATTATTTGGGCTTCCTCTGCGCGCTGAACTACACAGACGCACAAATCAACACCGTGGCGAGAAGAAAATTCCAGTGCGACGCAACCAAACAATACAGTGTGAACGACCTCAATTACCCTTCATTTGCGGTGGTATTTAACTCGGGCGGTGGAACCAATGCAGTTAAACACACGCGAACTCTCATGAACGTAGGGGCAGCTGGAACTTACAATGTCTCCGTGACGTCGGGCATCTCGTCTGTGAAGATCTCAGTTGAGCCCGAAGTGCTTAGTTTCAAGGAAAACGAGAAGAAATCTTATACGGCAACATTCACGGCTTCAGGTTCATCACCGACGAGTCAGAATGCGTTTGGTCGCCTAGCATGGTCCGATGGGAAGCGCGACGTTGCAAGCCCAATCTCATTTAGCTGGGGGAGCTAGCCAGGAAGGAGAAGGTTGATCACTCCCAGTCGTAGAGGGTCTGCTTTATGTTAATTGTTTTATAAGCATCCTGAGGAAAATTTGTGAAAGCTAAAGCCTAGCGTCCTTGGTTGGAGTCTGCCCTGTGAGAAAGGAAGAGTAGAAAAGAAAAAATTAGATTGGCTATTGCTTCTAAAGACAATTTAATTTACATTGCGCTGATTATCTCATGAAAATGCATCCACTAACGGCGCTAGGTCTTCCTTAATAATTATATTTTATTTTAATTATGGCTGCTTTTTTTCCCGTCTAATTTTACAAGAGCTTTCTGGAATCTGGATCCATTCAAAGACCAATAACTGTCATTGATCTGTCCGGCATGTGTGAGACTTTGCGAAGACATATCTAAGTCAAGATATTACAGATTAATTAATTCCCAGTTGGCAAAAAAAAAAAAACAAAGAAAGAAAGAAAGAAAAGATAATCCAGCGTATTTATCAAGTAGAATGGTTGGATAAATTAAGACGAAGCACAACGCAACACGTGGAGCGTACAAGATTCGAGGGGAAAATTGTTTAGTGGATGGGAACGGAAAGCTTATAAAGCTTGCCACGCATATCGGAAGTCCCTCCTGAATCGCCACGTGCGCAGAGGCATGCAGAGCAAGAGAAGCCAGAGAATGGCGTGTATATAAACACGAAAAATGAGGAGGAAAACCACATGAGGAAGGAAAACAATGGAGAAGCAAGAAGATAGGAAGACAGATGCGAAAGGGGAAACAGGGGAACCAGGACTTGAAGGGCTTCCGATGCAGGAGAGTCCTTACGTGAAATACAAGGACCTTGAGGATTACAAGAATAAAGGTTATGGCGCCGAAGGCCATCTCCAACCACAACCTGGTCGAGGGCCTGGTGCTACTGACGCTCCCACTCTCTCTGGTTCTGCTGTTTCCTCTGAGGCAGAATCCAAATTCGTCGATGCCGTTCATCGCCAGGGAGGCCTTTGATTGAGCTCCTTCTTTCTTTGTTCAATAATAAGAAACAGTTTCTCGTCTCCTTCTTGGTTAATTACTCCTTGTAATTTGTTAGGTTTCACTTTTATAATTTGCTTTTACCACTTTCATTCGCTATATGACAGGGCGTATGCTTCAATAAAAGCATTTTTCAGATTAAGATCAGCGCTCGTTGGATAGACGGTGAAATTGAAGGCATCCAAAAGTCTTCCCTGGAATTTGTTAGAAATTATTTAAATTACCCTCCTTCGACTTTTGACTCGTTAGTTTGTCTTTAATTCAGGCATACTTCTATTTCTGTCTCGATCAATTCATATATATTAATCGTCAATCTATATTACTTTGAATTATACGTGTAATTTGACGGCTGATAATTACTCTCAAGAATTAGCCAGCAACATTCTGCCGTTTTATCAAATTTTCGCCTCTCGTCTCATTTCCCATTCGCCAAACGAGCAAGGCAAATTTTGGATTTGGATGCCTTGGATTTCATTCCGTCCGTCGATGAAGCCTTACTACATGTTGCTCGAGATCAGATTATAGGCCTAGAACATCATATTCCGAGCTGTGCGGATCAGCTGCTACGTCAAAGGAGGTGTTTGGTTCATGATTTTAAAAGAACACAAAATTTTGTTTCAATTTGCGCGTAAACATATTTTTTAGAAGTATTTTTGTTGTTGTTGCTAAGTAGGATTAGCCAATCTTGTTCGAAGTACTGTCAGGCATTAAATGCGGTAATCTCTCTCAATGAGGATTTGAACATTGCTTCCTCATATTATGAGGAACCTGTCTTTTTTACTAGACCCAATACTATTAGTTTTTAAAAGTGTTTTTGAAAAATAAATGCCCTTCAACTTTTAAACCGGCCCTAATTGCCATTTGGCTGGGCCTTTTGAAATGTTCAACTCCGCAGACTACCCGATGAGGCCGATGCAATTGGATGCGATTTTCAGACAAAAGAAGCAAATGGAGTTTTGTGTGATTGGAAGGTCTTATTCCTACGTCTAATAAAAGATCCTTCTGGATGAGTATCCTCAATGTAAGAATATTTTGCTCCTAAGCCTTCGGCTATGTGCAATTGAATGGACTCATCCGCATTTGGATAATGAAATAAGATTTTTTTTTTTTTTAATTCGGACAAAGGAATTTTTTAAGGGACAATTATATATGGACTAATGTTTTACTTTCTCAAAATGTCAAAATAGAAAATAGCGAAATACTTGTACTGCTCTAACCTCCTTTCATCCGCATTTTGCACCCCCTTTCTTTTCAACAACCTCCTCCTCCTCAAAAGATGCGTCTTATTCTCTTATCGTCATCTCTGCCAGTGACCATTTCTGCACCTTTTAGGCATGTTTGGAATGCTGTTGGGAAAGGAAAATGAGCATTGGGAAGAGTGAAACTTCAGTTAATGGCTTATTTATTTAGTTGAAGCATCAACACCCTCAGTTTGATCTTCATATTTTTGCCTTCTGGTCACAGTTACGTATTGTAATACTACTTCCAATAGTGCAGCAGCAAAGCTGTCCTTCATCTTTTTTGTGTTGGTGAGTTCTGGCTTTATCCCCACACATTCTTCAGTGGGATGGTGAGAGAGAATGTGGGATGAGTGAGAGAAGATTCTTAATTATTAATATTGATAATGATAATACTACCTCAAATCCTAAATATAAGAATTAGTTAACTAATTTAAAGAGATAAAAAAATAAGTTAAGTTAGTTATTTGTAATAAATAGGTGTTGTCTTTCCTAAAATATCCTTACTAATCAAGCACATTGACTATAACTATTATCATTAGAAGAACTATTTTGAAAATAAATAAATATACATGAAAGACAAAATAGATTGGTATCTTATATTTAAAACCAAAATAAAAATCAAACAAGATGTTATATTAGGCACAGGAGATAATATCTTGTTAGAGTTTTGACCACAGCATACTCCTAAAAAGTAAAGATTTAAGTCAAAACATGGAGGAAAATAATAGGATTTTTTTTATAAGTATTTTTGCATACGGCGAGTTTGCCACCGGACGATAATTTTTACGGGCCGGGACTAACACAAAAATGTGGTAGGATCAAGGATCTGACACTTACATCTTTAATACTCCTCCGGTCCTAATTATAAGACCCAATTGATTTATTTGAGGAGATTAAGGAAGTAAGTTAAATTGGTTATTTATAATAAATAAGTGTTGTCATTCTTAAAATATCCTTACTAATTAAGTATATTGGCTAAAACTATCATTATTAGAAAGATTATCTTGGAAAAAAATACATAAATATAAGAAACAAAATGGATTGGGTCTTATAATTAGGACCAAATAAAAAGTCAAATTGAGTCTTATAATAAGGACCGGAGGAGTAACACTTTGCACCCAAAAAAAAAAGTTTTTTAATCACGCTCATGTCATGCCTTCAAAAACTCGAGAGATACAAAGTCGAAAAGCAATGAAAAGCATTGCACCTACTTTTTATGCATGGTCGTGGGAAAAAAACTCACAGATTTATATTTTGTCTATTATATAAAAAGGGTTCAAACTCTGAATTCCCCCTTGCATTCCTCATGAGTCTGAACTCATCGGAGAGTTAACAATTACTCCTCCAGTTTTTAATGGAGTATTCAACTAGAAAGTTGATACCTCTCAGATTTTAAATATAAATTTATTTTATAATATAAATAGGTTTTATATTTAATATCAGAGTAGTATTGGTTACATATATAAAATTTATTTCATAAATTTATTAATTTTTTAAAATTAATCTTATTGTTATTTCTCAATAATAATTAAGTAGGGAGGGAGGGAATAAAAAAGATACTTAGGCTATTTTATAAAAAAACATATTATAGTAACTAGTTTAACTAATATAATTAATCTATTTAAATTTAATTAAATCTTATATTACTGCATGTTCATATTTTCTAAATTTTGAAACGCCTACCTGGCAAACAACAAAACACTCTGGCAGAGATATCATGGTTGTCGTGGTGCCGGCTGAAAAGGCACAGTTCCCTTCTGTTCGTAAGGACATTATTGGTTGGGTGGCCTGCACTGAGCGACCTCTTTTCTCACCCTCTCCCATTTGGCGCCACTGGTCTTTATATTCCACTCGTCTCTCCCTGTGACTCTTGTCTACCGTATTCGCCTTCTCCTGTTTTGTAAATTTCTTTTGTTTAACCAAACACATCCCCTGTTCATACACCTTCATCCCACTCACTCTCATTCATGTCCTTTAATTTCATTCCTTCCGCTATCTCCCAGTAGTTTTCGAACCGAGTCAGTGCCTTTCCTGAGATGGCAACAGACAGAGACAGTGCCCAAGGAAAACGAGAGGCTTCGGGTCATATTCAGCTCGAAGAAAAAGAGGCAGAAGCCTTGTCATCACTTTGTGATGTTCCCATCAATTCGGTCAAGGAAGATGAACGATCAATAAGGAAAGCAGATTCCCAGGTACTTGAAACCAACGAAGAATTCGATTTTCGCCTATGGGGTGGTTCCCTTTCCAAGGAACCAAAAATGTGTGCAGCAGATGAAGTCTTCTTTCAAGGCCAAATTCTCCCCTTACAACTAAACAACCAGATATTCAACCGCTACAAATCAAGGTCCCTCGATTACCTCGACCATGGTTCTCTGAGTGAGTCTAGAAGCAACAGCAGTAGAAGCAACAGTTTTAAAAGCCAGAACTCATCAAACAGCACTGGTTCCACGATCATTCTGACACCAAGAGTTTCCGTTTCAGAGTCCAGAGTAAAAAACCGATTTCACACTTACCCAAGTCCCAAACCTCAGTTAAGAGTGCCTCTGCCAAGACAAGCAAGTTTCGGTAATGTGGGTCAAAAATCGTCAACGTGGGACTTCTTCCGTCTGGGTGTGGTGCCCGTACCTGAGATAGAATTGCAAGACCTTAAAGTTCGCGGTACAAAAAATCCTGTCTCTCGCCATGGCAGCACTAGTAATAATAGAAGCAATTGTGGAACCACTAAAAGTGGCAAAATGAGTACGAGTACTCATTATAGGGATAAGAGCAATTATGGGTTGAAGCAGCTTCTGGGTAAAGGCGGTGGTTTGTTGAGTGGATGTAGGTGTTCGATTGAAATGCCATTGGACACTGTCATAATCAATAGTCGCACTAACAAAAGCACCAAAGAGACAGAAAGTGCAACGCGTGCCATGAAAGAAAAAGTAGTGATCGAGTTCGACAAGGAGAAGCAGAGGCGAAAGCAAGGAAAGAAGGCTGTGTCATGTCGTCGTCAAACGTTTGAATGGCTAAAGGAACTTTCGCATGCAAGCTATCCTGATGATGAAGAGGAGGCTTTGCTTTTAAACTCATGAATTAATGTGTTATTTAGTTTAGGTTATGGTTGATGCCTTTGTGTTGCCTTCGTAGTTGAATAGGTTTATAGCATTTAGCAGTCAGCAGTGTAGTGTTAGCTGTGTTGTTACTTAACAGACGGAAAGGAAAACTCGCTTTCTCGCGAGAATGGATCAGTTATCTAGCTTGGTCGGTTTACCCCCTCCTTTTTCTGCTAGTGCGTATTAGGAGGTTAATTTAATATTCCTGGTTGTTATGGAACTTTTAGTTGAGATTAAGACATTGAATGTAAGATTTGTGGTGCTGATGAAGTATAAAATGATAATCGCCATCATAAGTGGCCAGAGTCGGGTCTCATCGTCATGATTAAATTTTAGTTTTCAAGGTTTTTCTAGGTGGTTGGTGTTCCATGTTGAGCTTTTAGGAAAGTATAAATTGCATAAAAATGGCATATTAATAATTAAATTCTTTTTCTATGGGGCTTCCATATAATTTTGATAGTTATTGTGAAGGAGAATATTGCATCATTCGTGTCAGACAATTAGATTTCTAGATTTTGGCCAGGGAATAAATATATGTATTATTGCAGATGGTTATTTGCTGTACTGATTGGATCTAGCACCCAAGTATCTGACAGTGAGACTGTGAGAGCATGCGAGGAAAATTCTCCTATATCGGCCACCAAATTGCAGATGGTTATGCTTGTGCGTGGATTACTGTCAGGATTTTTGTTCTGAAAATCAGGCCGCCTTTACCTTGCTGCCATATTTTTGGGCCACAGGCTATAAAACAAAATCGTTTTGGGCTACAGATCAACTTTCATAAATAGGCCCCCTTTTCACAATTTCTGAGAAATGTATCTTGCTGAATTTCTTTTTTGGTTTAAAGTAAGAGGGTGTTTAGATGGAAATCAAACTATAATTTTAAAAGTGATTTTATGGTATACAAAATAAATATGTGAAAGACTTTGTCTTGATTTGAGAAAAAATGCTTTTAGAAAGCATTTTTAAGCAAACCCAAACAGCTCCTAAGTTTAACAATCGGATAACTTGGAAACAACTTCCTCCGTCACAATTTTATTCATACATATCTCGTGAAAGTTGTGGAAAAATGATGGCACACTTTGTAATTAACAAAGCTCACTACAAATTTTACAAATTTTATAATTGACATAGAATATTAAATATTCTTTTAGTTCTAAATATAAAATTTTTTTATAGTATAAATTATACTATAAAAATGGTCTTATATATTTATATTATCACCGGACGTGCATAACACTTCACACTGTTGTCCGCGGGTTTGCTAATTTTCATTTTTCACCACATGTCCGCAATGGGTGTAGTCAATGTCGGCTGGTCAGGGAAAAAAAGTCAGTGTCCATCCATGTCATGGTGATGAGCACTGTATATGCTTTCCGTTAATATGAAATTTGAATTTATTTTGTTTTTTTATATTTATTTATTTTTTTAAAATAATCTTTTTAAAAATTACACATGTTAAATATTTTATCAAATAATAATTTTAGTTAATACATATAATTGAAAAATATATTTAAAAAAAATAAAATATTTTTATTATAAATAATTAACTTTACCACTAATTCTAATACTTGGCAGCGAAGCTAATAGCACAAAATAGTGGTTGAATTATCACTTGAAGGTACAAACGAAGTTTCAAGAGTCCTGAATTGAGATAGGCCTTAAATTCCAAAGACTTTATGGCATGGCTGTTATTTCGTATGATCTAAGTCACCTCATCATTTGACCGTTTACTTTGAAAAGACTTCCGTCGGGGCTCGAGTTCTTCCGCTAATGGAGCCCTTGAAGTCAAGACCCACTCTATCTTTCTCCCCCCTCCCCTCCTCCGCTCTTGCTGAGTCTGGCCCTCCGTCTCTCTCTGTTACTACAACGTTCTTTCTTTTTTTATTTTTCCTTAAGCGGGACTCACACGTCCCGCTCTTTCATTTTTCTCCTTTAAGGATTCCGTCACCAACAAAATCTTCCTTTTTTTCCATCAGCCGTGGACCACAAAACCAGCGCTTTTTCCATACGCTTGCTGAACCTTGAATCAAACCCATTCAGAGACAGAGAGTTTTGATTTTAGTTTACATTTGAAACGGCAGAGAGAAAGATGCTGGAATTCTGGCGAAGGCCATTAGAGACATGCTTTGGTGCAGGAGGAAGCGATGCACTTCTCTGGCATACGGGCTTGAAGCCCCACGCTTTAGGTGAATATTCAATTGCCATAGTTCAAGCTAACTCGTCTCTGGAAGACCAAGGTCAAGTTCTTACCTCTCCATCTGCAACTTTTGTTGGGATATATGACGGACATGGCGGCCCCGAAGCTTCCCGTTTCATCACCAACAATCTCTTCCCCATTCTCCAGAGTAAGCAGCCTCACAATTGATGGATGTCTCCCATCAAACTTTTTTCTACCTTTTTTGTAGTCAGAGACTCCATAATCTGTAATAGGACCCCACTTCATCGGGAGATGACCTTCAATAGCTTGGAATGCATATAGTTTAATTTAGCTAATTGGTCGATGCATTTTAAGATCATGTTGATTCTTCTTCGGTGCAGAGTTCGCTTCTGAAGAAGGTGGGCTATCGGAGGACGTGATAAAGAAATCCTTTAATGAAACTGAAGAGGAATTCTTAAAGTTCGTGAAGCAATCATTGACTACTCGGCCGCAGGTTGCTTCAGTGGGCTCATGCTGTCTTGTTGGGGTGATTTCAAACAACGTTCTTTATGTTGCTAATCTCGGGGATTCGAGGGCAGTTCTGGGTAGGAAAGTTAACTGTTCTGTCGTGGCAGAACGTTTATCCACTGATCATAATGTTGCGGTGGAAGAGATTAGAAAGGAAGTTATGGCACTTCACCCCGATGATGCTCACGTTGTGGTTTACACTCAGGGCGTTTGGAGAATCAAGGGCATTATTCAGGTACTTGTTACCTTTTTCGAAGTCTCTCTTTCAGGATTCTCTGTTTTATTTCTCTTCCTTGGCTGCTCTGTTTAATTGCCCCGCATAATAAAGACATGAATGTTTTACAGCATGCAAGTTTCATCTAAACATTTCATTCTTTCAATTTTTTCCTTCATAAGATCGTTGTTTGGAATTTCGGTACCGTTTCAAATATTGATTGAACCCTTCTCAGTGGTTAACGTCTGGTTGGTTGGATTAACCTGTCCATGGCAACAAATTTTTAATTTACCTTCAATAGCTGAGATAAATTGTTAAAGATATACTTTCTCATTTAAAAATATGCACAATTTGCTCTGGATGCAAGTCACCTTAAATTTTTATCATATAAGGGTGTATCGAAGTGATGAAGTCTGCATGAATAAAAGTTAAGCTATTCTTTACATGCATTAAGGAGTTATAGTTCGATATACGTTCATCCTGTTGACTTAAACTTCAGGTCTGTGTAATATGTAGGGTCTTAATAACTAAGGAACCCTTTTTTTTTTTTTTAATTTTGAGGGAGAGTTTCCCCCTAAACTGGCTCACGTGAAACCCAAGCATGAAAGAGCTACCAATAAGTCAAATTGCTAAAACACAATACTCGGCATCATGTTGTAACTTGCATACACCAAGAATCATGTTACATGTTCCCGTCTTCTGCAACGTTATGCTTGCAGCTTGTCAGGGGACCAGTGAGACACCGTTTATGAAGAATTCTTTTTAGGATGATTTTAAGTAGAGCTTCTGATTGGTTTATGTGTGACCATTCTGGTTTTTAAGAAATTACCTTTTAAAAGAATATACGTACAAAAAATTCTTCTACGAGTTTATCTCAGAAGATGTGTGAAAAAAGACTCCTCATCATGTGAATGTTTGGTTGTTACGCAAGTGATGTGGAATTCACATCTTCCCTTTATGGTGAATGGTTACATAATTCCATGAATTTACCAGCATGACCGTTGTCCATGGAAGGTAAATCCTCCGAAGCTGCATGTGAACTTCTTGAAGTCATCTCATTCGATCATAGTTGCACAGATGCAAAATTTGATATCTTTTTGTATTCTTCTGAACCCGTACAAGTGACTACCAAAAACTTCATATTTTAGTCACAAGTACCAGAAAAATAAACACAGACACTTTAATGATAATCCTTGCCGCAGATCATTTATTCTATTAGGCTAGGTGAGGCTGTTGCAGAGTCCAAGGATAAGCCACAATATTCACGGCTATTTTATAAATGAATATATTGAACTTTGATTTCAATTTATCGTATCTTTTTCAATATTCAACAACTCCTTCATCGTATCTTTTTCAGTACTTTGTGTTTTATTTACATCTCAGGTTTCAAGATCAATTGGAGATGCTTTTCTAAAGAAACCTGAGTTTAACAGAGATCCTCTGTTCCAACAATTTGGATACCTGTTGCCTTTAAAGCGGCCTGTAATGACAGCTGAACCATCCATATTGACTCGAAAGTTAAAGCCAGACGACATGTTCTTAATATTTGCATCTGACGGGCTTTGGGAGCATTTGACAGATGAAGCTGCCGTTGACATCATCTTCAAAAATCCAAGACCAGTAAGTAGCATCTCACTCACCTTAACGTGGCCACTGATCTTGCGTGTGTGTACCTTATTTATAAGACATTCTTTGCATGTTTCATACATATCAAGAAAAATTTTAAACTGCATTAGCTCTTTATTAAAATATAACAATTTTCTAACTTTACTCTTATTTAATATATACATTTCAAAAAAAAAAAACATCTACACTATAATACATAAAGGATAAAATAATACAATCATGCTAGAAGTTATTATTTTGTTCGAGGATGCTGAAATTCTATATTGCAGGGAATAGCGAAACGATTGGTGAGAGCTGCAGTAGAAGAGGCTGCAAGGAAAAAAGAGATGAGATATAAGGATTTAATAAGAGTTGAGAAAGGTGTTAGGCGCCATTTTCATGATGATATTACAGTGATCGTCATGTACTTGGATCATTCACAGGATTCAGTAAGCGGGTTGAAACGTCATGGCGTTTATGACTGTACTGATGCTCCTGTTGATATCTTCTCTCTAAATGCAGATAAAGATGATCTCTAAGGTGAAAGAACCTTTGGCACTTTGGTCTTTGCCACCTTGTGTATACCAATTTCCACCTACGAAGAACTAGGTATCGTACTATCATTCGACGAAGAAGAGCAAAATTAATTTATACTCTTCCAGTTTTAAATATAAGACCAATTTTATAGTGTAAATTATACTATAAAATGAGTTTTATATTCAGAACTAGAAGGAGTAACAAACAAGCGGAAATGACTGAGTGGCTTGTTCCCAGGTTGAATCCCTAGACATTTCTGTTTATTTTGTGTTGAAAAACTAGATTAATCAATCAATTTCTGAATTTGTGGCCTTTTCTCTTCCTATGAGTTCATTAGTCCCTTGATATCTGGACTTGATAAAAATCAACAAATTTAATTATACCATAAACAAAATCTTACTATGGTAATTAAAGCACTCAATGAAAACCGAATGGAGCTAAAAAGAGGAGCCGTAACGGAAGTTTTAACTGTCAACTAACACCGTACCATCTGGCTGGCCTTACGAGGCTGCAATAACTGGTTTGTGTTTGGGACTTGGGCCGAGTCTCTATGCCCATGACGCCGTAATCTTTACTTTGATAATTCACTCGTCACGGCTCTGGATAATGCCATCTTCGTCAGTGTACCTCGTCTGATTCTAGTTCCATTTTCCAACGTCGTTGCCATCTCTTCTTCCAAATTTCTAAAGCTTCATCCCTTGTTTCTCCATCTTAGCCCTTTCGATCCCCCCCCCCCACACACACACTCTTACTTTTACAGTTGTATTGGAATTGGACTCCATTGAAACTTAGAAATAGACCCAGGGACAATCACCCTTATATTCGTGCACCTCACCTGGGTTCTCCTCGCCCGTGGCTCCTGCCATCTCAAAGCGAGTCGAGCTAGCCAGGCTCTGTGGCTCTACGGACTAGTCCAAGGCCATTCGAATCCTTGATTCTTTCATTTCCAAGTTTGGTGCAATCCAAGACATCTGGCTTCGTGTGTTTCACACTCCTTTCTGCCTTCCTCTCCGAATTTCAGTCTTGTTGATCTTCTTTTTCATTTTTGCTCACAATGTTATTCTAACTTTTTGTTACAGTCCATTAGAGCTGCAAAATCGTGCTCCGATATTTACAGGGTTGTTGGTGAGGACCTCTGGTTGGCTAATTGGTACTGCATTTGAGGGGTAAGGATGTGTAGGGAAAAGGTGTCCGGGGGAAACTTTTTTTTCCCACATGCTTATCTTTTGGTTGCTTGTTTATTCTTCATCAGGAAGCAGCTGGAAGGGACGAGGATTTCCCTTGCAAACGTATGAATCGAACCTCTTTCATAAATTCATGTTACAAACTTAATGGACTCCCTTTATTTTTTATGTCCTTGAAAATGTTAGAGATGCAATTTCAAGAATGACGTATTAATATGTAGGAGAACACGTATATATCCTTTCCGCTGGAAAATGTGGCAGAACCCTGAACTTTACTAGGCTCCTTCATTATAGGGATCGAGCCTTGTATGCCTTACCGGGCTTGTTCCGCTCAAGCCATATTTGTGTGTCTCTTTCTGTACAATAATAATACTTTTCCGGTTTTCAATATAAGACTCATTTAACTAATTTGATTAGATTAAAGAAGTTAGGTAAGTTAGTTAATTATAAAAAAATGACACATGTTTCCTAAAACATCATAATCATCTTTCTTAATACCCCATCTCCCTTTTCTACTTGATTATGGTTGAGGGAGTATCTATAGAGGTAATTTAGAGAAAATTGATAAATATGAGAAATGAATCTTATATTTAAGATCAAAACTAATTCAAAAATTAGGTCATATATTAAGGATTGGAGGAGTATTGTAATTTCTGGCTCAAGATAGTAAATTTGTCTTTATTTTTTCTAACTAGAAATGGGTTCCCTTCCATAATCTTATTCTTATATACATAAACACAAAATAAAATGACATTATTCATCCTACAAAGCTAACAATAGTAAATTCTCATGACTTTTTCCATACTTTTATCATGATGAAATGTTCTTCTGCAATGTTCAGTTAAACATCTAAAGCAAACAAACTACTCCTCCGGTCTTTAATGTAGGACCCAATTGTTGAATTGGTTTTGGTCATAAATATAAGACCCATTTCTCATATTTATCAATTTTCTCTAAATTATCCTTATAGAGACTCCCTCAACCATAATCAAGTAGTAGAAGAAGAGGAGGTATTAAGAAAAATGATTATGGTATTTTAGGAAAAACATGTAACATTTCTTATAATTAACTAACTTACCTAACATCATTAATTTAATCAAATTAGTTAAATGGGTTTTATATTAAGGATCGGAGGAGTACATTACAACAAAACTCCACTAGGCATTGTCCTTTTCGGAACTCGTTATTGTCTTTTTTCGCTTGAGTTTTTGACATACGACTGCATGTCATAGTTCAGACGAATTGGGAAAAATATTGTTTCAAGGTTAAAAAATCTTAAGCGGATCAAAATGAGGTTAAATTTTAGAGTCTAAACCTAATTTCAGATTTCAGAAATTAAAAATGATACTCGTATTAACCGATAAATTATGAGAAATTAAAAAACAGGCACATCTGCTAAGTAACGTCCTAGAAATCACCTTCCATCATTTTTTCCCTCGCTCTGTTCCCCGATGTCAATTTGATTTTGGCCTTCGTGTTCTTTCCGCCCTTCGCACTCGACATACATCTCTGACTTGGCCGATTCACAGAGCCCCAAGGCATTCATGTGCTTGTTCACCATACGTGCCGCATAGCACGGAATTCTTAATCCCTGTTTGTGTCGTGACTCGAAGCGGCTGTTGATGAACATTAAGCAATCCATCAAGCTCTCCTTAGTAATCCCTTTCATGTCATAAGCTTGTGATCTTCTCCACAAACTCTTACTGTGAGGAAACGCTTCACTTGATAAGCACAGAGCTCGAGTTGTATCGCTTATGGCGGCATCCGCATCTCTTAACAACAAATGACACTGAGCTCTATTGCTATGAAGCACGATTCTCTTTCTCCACATTTTCAGTGGGCACAAATCCAAAGCTTCAGAGTATTTCATCATAGCTCCTTTTATGTCCCCCGACCAAAATACACTGTTTCCTTCTTTCTTCAACGCTCCCACTAATACCTCTTTTTCTCTGATTTCTTCCTCGCTCATCATCATACTTTCTCTCTTCACTCTCTCTACCTTTAGATCCCATAATTCTTTTAACGCTCTCTCAGCGATTTCGCTCTTCAAACTCATTTTACAATACTTGATTTTGTGGTAATCTTGTAAGAGAGTCTGCGTGATTGCTTGTCCTCCTTTTATCTTTCCGTCAATGCTCCTGAGTTCAGATAAATCAACAAGGACTGGAGCTGCGGTGTCTATTACTTTGTATCTCGTAAGAGGGTCTTTAAGCAGCTGCAGAAGACTTTCAATAGCCGAGTATTGCCGATCATCTGAGGATCTCGAGACCTTGCAAAGGCTGTCTACTACTTCTTGAGACTCCGCTATGCTTTCTCTTCCTACTTTAGTGTGACACAGTGTTCGCACAAGTCCTATTCCAGCAGGTGATCCCGGGTTTCCCATTCCACCCCACATTCCACATAAACCATCCAAGAATTGCTTCTTGCAGATTAATCTGAGAGATCTTTCTTTGCTTGCAAAGCAATCTAAGAGACACAGAGACCAGCACTGAAGCTGTCTTGCCCAATCCTCTGCTTTTCGGTTCTCTAATTCCAGGTGTCCATGCCCCCTTGTTAGCAAATTCCTATGATACTTCAATCTCCGTGTTTCGTTCAAGCTAAGAAATTTATCGTACACCTCTTTCAAACACGTAGAAGCTATATTGATGGCTGCCTCTACGATTTCTCCTTCGTGTTCAGCAACGGCTTCAAAGGTTGCTTCATGTTTGGCCAAATGACCCAGTGCTCGAAGTGCGACTCTCTGTTCAACCCAACTGATCTTGCCTTCGAGGAGGTCCATCAATGGCCGGACAACGTGGGACTTGACGGCTTTATGAGCAAAGTTGGCTTTATTCATGGTATAGGAACCAATGATATGTGCTGCATAATAAGGGAAGTACACGTTCTGATGTCTCAGCAGCCAATCTTTGTCGCTGATGCCTTTCTCGATTAGTTTGGCCATGCATCTAAAGATGCCGAGGGAAGGAAATTCTGGGTCATTTGGTTGAGTCAGGGCGATTTTCCAAAGCCCACTTAAAGCCAAGACATGTTCTTGGTCGTCTTCAAGAGGCATTTGCTTGAAGAGGCGATACATTCTAGCTGCTCTGAGAGAAGAATCTGTATCGGACATGATGCAGAAGAAACAACAGCCATTCATGCATGTTTGCTTAGCGGGTAGAAGTTTGTGATTAGTCTTCAAGGCTGGATTTTTTGGGATCTGAAACTCCATGGCTGGTTGAAATAAGCTCATCAAATGAGACGGAAACTTATGGGGTTAAAGGGAGAGATGAACTACAAGTTGAACAGAAGATGTCGTGTATAAATAACCGAATAGACGCACACACCGTGCAATTCTGTTCTATACATGGGAGGCGTGATTGCCTCGGGCAATAGATTTATACTCGAAGAAAAAGTAAATAGGATTTATATATTCAAGACTCACTGAACTCGTTTCGATAAACCAAAAGGAAGTAAAAGAAAGAATGCTACGAGGTGAAGCCGTGCATTAAAATTACAGAGACCGATCGCTGATATCTATGAAAGAAACGTGCTTAAAAAACTAGACCAAGCGAACCCCATATATTTAATCGAACTTCCTGTCCTCGCAAATGATTGCTATGCTAGCTTCTGCAGTAGCAATGGTTGAAGCAACCTTTTTTGACTTAGAAGTTAGAATGGATGGTCGAATCTGCTCCTATTATGGACAGTTATCTCGAAGTGAGTTCACAGACAATAAAAAAAACAAAGATTTTTTATTTTAAAGAGAAAAAGAAAAGGGAAGATATTGACGCAAACTAGTTAATCATGATGTTCTTCTCCAAGATCTCTTAGGATTTAAGTATCTGAGTCAGTCTGGTCCCCTCAATAAATAGCCAATCAAATGGCTTCCAATTCAAACTCCTCAGGTGAGTGTATGATGGAGTTATTCAGTTTCCAACTCAAAAAGTGACCAATCCAGAAATATAATACACGAACAAGTACAAGCGGGGTGGTCTCAAGAAAATTCCGCTTCCTCCAGCATGATCATATGAAGTGCCTAGGTTAGTGTCTTGTGGTTTCCATCTGAAATTATTATTTCTATAAAGATTATTGAGCAAAGCCCAAACAATTAGTAGACAGAGGTCACCCCAGTATAAAGCAAGCAAGAACAAAATAGACAAGAAAGCATAAGCAGAGAAGCCCAGACTGAGGGGTGTTTGAGAGCCTAGAAAAATACTTTTAAAAAGTACTTTTTCATAAAATGAGGTAAACTCCTCTGCATATTTACTTCGCATAACATAAAAATATTTTTAAAATTATGGTTTGATTTCCACCCAAATATTTCCTGAAGCTTAATTACAAACCCAACGTTCAAGACAAACTAAACTCACTCATACAAGCCCAAACCAAAGTCAGCATGAACCAGAGTCAGCATTGCTTGCAGAATAGAATCCACACCAAACATCCCTCATGCACCAGCATAATAGTTGCCCTGCAGAATCAGAGAGGAAGTTCCGTCTATCTAAAGTTGTTTTTTTTGGGCACAAGGTTTCGATTATGTTCCTTAATTAATTTGAACTCTGTGTTACCAAAAAAAAAATTTGAACTCTGTGTGAAAAGAAGCCCAATCGCCCGGTGCTGATTTGATGCGGAATTGCATGGCGCCGGCGTTTCTTCTGTGGCTCACAATACTGGCCGCGCCCATTGGGCTCCAACAGTTTTTAATGAGATTGTTTGAAATTTGGGCCTGTAACTGTCCGAAAGCAAAATATGCATGAAGACCATTATTTCTGGGCAGTTAAAACATTTGAAGCCCATTACTCATTAAATTGGAAATGGGTCATTGGACAGACCCAAGACTTCACCTGTCTGAGAGTTGACGCCCGTCGTGTTCTGGTGCCGTCATGGGTGGGGTCTTAAGTTAGAGGTCAAAAGTGAAATATGTGCCGGGGGGGGGGGGGGGAAGATGAAAATTGGAAATAAATGAAGTATGAATACTAAAAATACCAAGTAAGAACAGTCATCGCTCATATCCATCAAAGATTTGCCGTGTTTTGTAACCAAAAGAGGATAAGAAGATGCTTAGAATTCTTCAAATAAAAAAATGTTGCATATCATATTTCATCTGACAAAAAGCATATCAGGCTTCAACTCGCACCGAAAGCAAGCGATAATACAGTCCAATCAATATGAATCTTATGACAATGAGGAAAAGGCAATAATTTGTATTTTGCAAATGAAAATAAACGTATTCGTATGCGTTGCTCGCTATGACTAATGCGAAATGCAGATCCAGCCGCGTTGAACAGTCCATATCTGACAGCTTCTCATGAATACACACAAAGGTATGCTTGGCCGTTATAATATTCTTTGACGCCACTGCCCTCACCGTTCTTCATTCGTGATATACTCACCGCTCACTATTTTGTTTGGTAGTATTGTTATAATCAGTTTGGTAGCAGCATCTTAGGCCCTTAACTTTATTACAAAATAATCTTCGCATGATTAGCTTGGTTCCGGGAGGAGGGACTTGAATTTGGCAGGTGAGCCAATCAATAAAATTGGGGACTGCCTTAGGAGTTGGATAGTTGGTTGCATTGACGCGAATGAGGAAATGGAATGCGCATACAAATACTGTTGTGTTGCTTTGATTTACCCCGCTGGTACTTTACCAACTCTTACACGGTAATATTTGGCGCAATTATTGCCGAAGATCCTTGCGTGGCATACAGGTATTGGTCCCCACACAGGGCGTGGCCCACCTCCTGTATATCCAGCTGTGTCACCAGCTACCGTTAATTCGCTCGCACTTCACCAAATCAGCACCAGCAGAGAAATGGTCACATCTCAGTAATTAATAAATGCCTACGCTCTCTAATCATTTCTTCCATTTCACATGCCCCTCATTCGCCAGGTGGGCCCATTACAGTCTGTGTGGCCACATTAGTCTTTGTTTTATTTCCAGAGCGCGTGTTACCCCCGACTCAGCGAAGCTTCTGCCTTCTGGGTTCTCATATACTTTGATCCAACGGCTAGTGGTGACCCATCTGACGGTGGGGCCCCTTTGTTTTGTCGGTCCAGATGAATCTCCACTCGTCCGTTAGTTCTGACAACGTCCTCATCGTACATCGGTCTATATAAACGACTAGCCATGCCTGCAACTCCCCAACTCTTCTCTCTCCCTCTCACAGCAAAATGGATCGGAGAAGCGTGCTCTCTCTCGCAGTGATCTGCATTGTCATTGCAGGCGTCGGCGGTCAATCTCCGGCGGCTTCTCCGTCCAAGTCACCAGCCACTCCGGCTGCGTCACCGGCGCAGGCACCTTCCAAACCTAAATCACCAGCTCCGGCTGCCTCTCCTAAATCGTCGCCTCCTGCTGCATCTCCCAAGGCGGCAACACCAGCATCATCTCCCAAACCTGCGTCGCCGGCTTCATCTCCAGCATCTTCTCCGTCAAAGGCTGCGGCGGCACCAGCTCCAGCTAGCAAACCTCCAGCAGCGACTCCAAAGAGCTCCCCCCCGGCACCAGTTCCGGTTTCTTCTCCCCCTGCTCCTGTTCCAGTTAGCTCACCGCCAGCCAAATCTCCTCCAGCACCTGCACCGACTACTCCTCCGGCGAGTTCTCCTCCAGCACCAGTTGAGGCACCGACAGCTGAGGTCCCCGCTCCGGCACCGAGCAAGTCCAAGAAGAAGAAGAAGGGAAAGAAGCACCATGCGCCAGCACCATCACCGTCATTGCTAGGACCACCCGCACCACCCGTTGGAGCTCCGGGACCCAGTGAAGATGCAGTCTCTCCCGGCCCAGCATCTGAGAACGATGAGGTACATACTTTGAGTTCATCCCTTTACTCTCTTTTTACGACTAACATGCTGAATGGTGTGACGCGCCTTAGATCTGAAACTAGGAGATCCGAACCGTAGCTAGTTAGTTTCACACCCCATTCTTATCTTAGGCTTTCCCCTTTTTAGGGGGATTGACTCCACCGTTTCACCGTAGCTAAGCACTTGCTTTAATGATTTTTTACTGCCGGAAGTCTCAAGTCAACTTAGAAAAATGGAAATTGGGACGAGATCCCGTGAAGTAATATACTAATCTTTCTGTATTTCCCGTTACTCCCCGAACTTCAGATGATCCATTCTGAATTTCTGATGGAAATTTGGTAGGCAAACCCATTCTCATGAAATTACAGTGGAAATCACACTCTAATTTTCACCGAAAGACACAAATTTTAGTCGAAGGATTTTACTTTTGGGTTTCAGTATAGATAACTCATATTTGGATCGGAAATTCTGACGTTCTTGTACTTGTGTGGCGCAGAGTGGAGCAGCAAGCATCATGTGCATGGAGAAGTTGTTGGGATGCTTAGCATTGGGCTGGGCTACCCTTGTTTTGATCCTCTAGAGGCTTCGCTCGATCGCTGTCTCAATATTCTTGTATCTTTGGTTTTTTTTTTTAGTTATCATTTGAAGCCCCATTTGGGCTTACATTTAATTTATTGACTTTTGTTACCTTGAAACGCTTATTATTCTGTTGCAAATGATGTCGTCTATATTGTTATTATTTTTCCAGTTAATTCAAATGCTGCTGTTCATCGGTGATTTATTATTTATTTTTTTTAATAATTTCATCACTCTGAGCGGCTTTACACAGCCGCTCTGGTTGCTTATTGTTACGTCATAATGTTGGTTTATCCATCCATATATATATATATATAAGTTAATCTTGGAATTTTTCCTCCAAGTTGGCCTCACCTGTCGGTGGGTTTGTGCTTGACAACTGCAACTAAAGGGAAGATGATTTGAAATGAAATGAAGATTGGCTCAATCTTCTCATCTCATCACAATAAATCAATAATGGTTTTATGATTAAGACATCATACCTAGAATCACCAAGAAAGAACTATCCTAACTACTACTACTTTCATTTCTTAATATAACATCTTGTTTGATTTTTATTTTGGTTCTAAATATGATCCCAATCTATTTTGTCTCTCGTATTTTTTTTTTAAAGTAATCCTTTTAATAATGGTAATTCGAGCTAATACTATATTTGATTAGTAAGGATATTTTAAGAAATACACCACCTATTTATTATAAATAACTAACTTACATTCTTTCTTTAATCTTTTCAAATTAGTTAACTAATTTTTATAATTAGAATTGGAGGTAGTATCATTCTGGATCACAATAAATTTAATCAGTTCGTTTTTCAGCCAGCACAGCTGATTACTTTTTGTCTGGCGCCTGCATAAAATGAAGTAGTCGATTGGCAGTAGAGGTAGATAAATGTAAACAGCTTCAAATAATATTCCTGTACATCCATTCGCATCTCATGCTTGTCCAACTAAGCGTGAGGCGCCAGCGCATATATTCATAAATTTGGAGTAATGATCATGTTTCTCATTGAAATGTTAGGGACCAAACATGTCCCTGTACCTCATAGTCACATCTCACAACAGTGCCACCCCATTCATGGTCACTTGGGGGCAATTTTGATATTAAAGCCTTTTTGAAGGTAGCTAAATTGCCCATGGCCGTTCGGTGAGTGATTCAGGGAACTAGATATCTTTTATGTAATGTTGTTGGGTGGTGTTCCATTTTGTTGAAAACAAATTTTTTCAAAGGAAAATCAATGCTTAATTGTCTCTCCCTTGGGGCAAAAAAGAAGAATTCATCCACATTATCTCAGTCTAAATTTGACTAAGCATGGTCAAACTTAATAAGGCTCGCAGCATAATTTTAATCATCACTTAGATAATATTAATTTCCTCCCAACTGATTTTGATTTTGATTATGACAGTTTCTCTTACAAATTTTATTAATTCATCTCATTAAAAATATAATACCCCTAATAGACAGACGTGGTTTCCATCTCAGTTTTTTCTTTTGAAATCCATAGTTGGTTGATAAACAAAACTACCTCCGGTATTTAACATAGAAGCTAGATAACTTATTTTTCCCAAAATATCATTATTAATCATGTGTATTGGAACTATCACTTGATGAAACTCCTTAACATGTATAATTATCATAAGAATTAATTATGAGTAAAATTAATAAATATTATAGGTAAAACAAATTGAAATTTTATATTTAGAATCAAATAAATTTTTAACAAACTCTTATATTAATAAGAGGAGGAAGTGATAGTTTGGATGGAGGCTGTATCAATATAATTACAGGTTGAGTTTCAAAAAGCCACATGCCCAGGTATTCCAATGATGCTACAGTGATCAGATGAACTTTATGTTGCTTTACCAGCACTGTAAGTCTGCATCATTGGGATTTCTCCTTTCTATTTTTGGGCTTTGATTGCCAAAAATTTGATGGAATAAGGGAATGCCCCTTTCAGTGAAAAACAAGACTCCACCACTACTTATTACTCTATAAGCACAAATCCATATTTCCAAGCAAGCAATGCCCTTTGGCTGAAATAAAGCAGGCAATGCCCAAATAGCACTCAACGATTCTAAACATTTTAGGATGTCCTGCTCCGCTGCTACTGTCCCACTCTTCTTTTGTTTTTCACTTTTCCTTAAAAGCCAGCATCTTGATTATAATTATCAGATGTTCAGGCTATTAAAAAAAGCGAATCGTCGTTCAGCTCTGCAGCAGTTACTACTCAGTTTCAGAAGGTTGCAGAAAGCATTCCAATGATCTAAGATTAAGACATTTTTTGGTGCAAGAAAATTCCCCACATAAATTGTTGGTGATGGATAAATTGGAGTAAATTATTAAATTTTAATGTTTGGATGGAGACGAACACATTACTACCCCCTAACTGATTAATTCACTGATTTTTGGATTTTCCCATTTATTTAATGACGAAATTTCAGCGCACTTGTTAGTGTCAAATTTTTTTAATGCCAAAATGCAGTGATTTTTCTATAACCTAGTATTGCATTTGCATCATGATTGATCTTTTAAGGGGAAAAAAAATCTCAACATGGCATGCATTTCTGGAAATCGATAATCACTAAAGTTTATATATCATGAACAAATGCGATAATCTCATTATCGAGGGAATGGAATTATACGTGGTCAGATCAGTTGGTAGAGAAGTTGAGATTTTAATTTCCATTTTTTTTTTCAAATGATTTCTTAACAATCAATGGCAGGAAGTAGTGGGTATGCATTAAAGGGAATGCAGTCCATGTCCTGATGAAAAGTCTGTGAAGGGAAAGTAAAATATTAGAATATAAACATTTAAGAAATGACCAACCACCCAATAAATTAGTAAATGAAAGGAACCCGTGGAGGGAGGGAATGTGCTGGGGAAGCCACCGTTATAGCTTTTTCAAAAACAGGCGGATTCGGCGCTTTGCAGCAAGGTACAGCAGATTCCTTGCACCTGCTTTCTAATTTAGAGATCCACACCCAAGTTGGAAATTCAAATTACAAGTTGACAAGGTCGATCTTAAATTCTAGCAGGAAGTGGAATAATTAATGTGATCCTTTTAGAATATGAGCGATTTTCTTTGGTATATATATAAAGTTCAATTATTTATTTCTAATTTTGTTCAGCAGGCTTGACAATCAGAAAATAATTTTAAAGGGTAAGGTGCTCCCAGGAACCTAATTTTGGAAATATAATTGCGCCTTCTTGAAATATCCCCAACAAATTTGAGCTCTAGCTGGAGTAATGTACAGCTTCTTGTTTTATACCTCCATTCCTTATTATAACAGTTCGTTTGATTTTTAATTTGATCCTAAATATAAAACCTCAATCCATTTTGTTTTTATGTTTATTTATTTTTTTAAGTAGTTTTTATAATAGTTAAACATGTTAAATATTTCATCAAATGGTAATTTTAACTAATATACATGATTAGCAAGGATATTCTAGGAAAGATAATACCTATTTATAACAAATAACTAATTTAATTAATTTTCTTATTCTCCCTAAATTAATCAATTAAGTCTTATATTAAAGACCAGAGGTAGTATAATGAAACGTCAACGAGCAGTTTCCTTGTTCAAGAACTGGAATAAGTGACTGGGTTTCACAAGAAAATGTTCCCAATTCAACACCTTCTTGGTCAGCAGATGTTCTTCTTATGACCTGTTGAGAATAACTAGCTTTTCAATCATAATTTACGAAATACGAGGTAAATATGTAAAAGTTTTATCTCGGTTTATATAAAATATGCTTATAAGTGATTTCAATCGTGATGACAAACAAAACCTTACTATTCCTTGTTATCGTACAGAAAAGGATTATCCGACATTTCTGATTCGACAACTGGAATAAGTGACTGGGTTTTATAAGAAAAACCGCTATTTGGCCGAGTTCCCAACCTTTACATTGTTACGAACAATTTTGACCGGTTGGATAACTGCACATTCACTTGCCAACGCAAGTAGTTGTTATTAAGATTGATTTGTACACTTCTGAGTCGCATTTGATTGTATGGGCTGATGGAGTTTCGGTGCTCGAATGATGTCCCTATTACAGTTGATGTGGTCAACTACTTCGTCGGCGAGAAAGAAAATGGATATCATCCTGACGGGCCCAGTCTCTTGAAACCCAAAGAGACTACCTCGAATCTTATAGTTTCCAGAGCCTAATACAAGGGATCGGGAAAAAGATACATGTACAGTACAGAACCCTTTAAGAGCAAAAACTCCATAAAAGAAAACATTTGTAGTAGATGAACTACATAGATTCAAGAGTTATTAATTTGTATTATTTACCATAAGCAGTTAAATTATTTATTATTTTATATTAAATTAATGATAAAAGGTTAGGTGTTGAATGGGTCATGCAAATGGTTGTGTACAAATACCGTTTTCCACAAGAAACTGTCACTCACGCTCATGCTTCCTCTCTTTATTTCTCATTTACATTGCAATATTCACAAACAAAATCGCGTTTACTAAAAACAATACGAAGAAATAAAAATTTTGCTATACCTCTGTTGTTTAATGATGATCACTAGACATTGTCATGGACAGCATTTCCATGAAACAAAAATTTTGATAATGTCGGTTCCGGTTGCATGATTGATGTTTTGTTAGGAGTCGACTATGCTATTGAAACTGATCAGGCAAACCGTGAAAGCACAAGGGGCGTAGGCATGGCTCACAACGGTTGAAGTTCCTGCTCCGGAGCAGACACGCCTACCGGCTTGTATGAATGCACGATTTGCTGCTGTCTGTTTTTCAAAATTAAGAATATTCCGGTAGCTGATAATCCAAGAAGCAACGTAACTAAAACAGCCAAAGTCGCCACCAAACCATATTGCTGCCACCAAGTCCTGCATCATTTTAGAAAAAGTTGGGGAGACGGGAAGAGGTTATAACAAATACAAGCTTGGGGATTCTACAGGCACCCAAGCACATGACAAAAGACAAGTCAATTAAATAAAGAGTCTGCATGTCTAGTATAATACTTCCCGGTACTTAATATAGGACATAATTAACTAATTTGAGTATATTAAAAATGTCAATTAAATTAGTTAATAACTTAATATGAAATATTCTTTCTAAAATACCCTAATTATCTTCATTGGTTCCCTCATCCTCTCTTACTTGATTATTGTTGGAGAAATATCAATACGGTTAATTTAGGAAAAAATTGATAAATATGAGAAATAGGTCTTACAT